CCTCTTTAAACGTTGGAAATCCGGTTTTAACGCGCAATCAGTTTTTGAATATTTTATTTGGAAAAGGTCCTGTAGAGGAACCACAAAGCAGAAGCAAAGATTTCGGTTGATTTTTTCCTGCGGATGAATTTAGATTTTGCAATATACCGATAGAAATAATAACGTCAGTAATATACCGTTTCTTTAGGAGAACGATTACTACCACAAGAAGCACGTATGTACCTGAAGTTTCTCTGCGGTTGTGATGACAATATGCAAAATACAAATGACGATAACAAAGACGAACGATCCATACTCCAGAAATTCACCTTTTTGCCAGAAGTATGCATTATTTTACAACCTATTCAACATTTCTTATGATATTACTTTCGATTCAACTTGAATTTTTTCATTGAATGTTTTCTTTCGAAATTAACAGTTTCAAGAGAAATTAAAGTATATGTATTTAGAAAACATTATTATTACTAAATTGTCAATACAGCATCATAAAAAAACTGTTATCAGTTAAATAAAAAGAAAAATAATATTAAACAAATTTTGAATAGCCAAATGTTACTCCATTTTGAAAAAATTAAAGTTGTTTGCATTTAACACGTACTTGTACCAAAAAGAAACAATATTTAACAATTATTCTTAAATAATAGTTTCAATAATTAAATAATTTTTAATTATATAAATATTTTGATTCCAAAGTAACCGTTCCTACTATTTTTTCTTAAAATTTCAAAAAAGTAAGGTATGTCTTGTCGAAAAAATTATACGTGGCAGTACTGAATGCGCTCCAGTGTCCAATACTAACGTAAATTTTAAAATATAATAATAGTGATTAGATTGCGAAATTTATGCATTTATATAGCATAATCAATTATACAAAACAATGAAACAAAAGCAATAACGACAATTTAAAATCCAAACATATTTCCATTTAAAACTTAACCTCTCAAACAGCTTTGATGGAAAAAATAAATTGCTTTTAAGGTAACCTACAAAATCTAAACTTGCATAAACATTCGCAGTCTAGTAATTAATACCGTGAAGAAAATATTAAGACATTTCGTGAGTACTACGTGTAATAAAAAAATAAAACAGAAGAGGAGACACTTAGGCTCGCCGAAAGTAATGTATTATTATTTTATGATACAGAGGATATCTTACAAAGATTTTATCACGGACATTATGGGTATTGAATTGCCGGAGGAAACGAGGGCTGACCATGAATAATTAATCTGTACCGTGATTTGCATTGCTGGCATGTTAACGTCGATTACAATTACCACTATTATTACCAATATTATTAGCATTACCATGTACTTGTGAATTCTATTAAACATGTACGAATACTAACGTATTTAACCGTCTTTTTATGGTTTACGCGTTAAAAAATTCAATGTTCCGGCGACCGACAGACTCAGTTTACGCGGAAATTCGTACTACAGACAATTCGGTTAAATTTATAAAACTGATCCGACTATGATTTTGTTCCAGTAAACAGAGATGCAATGTTTTCTTTTTATTTTCAGTACTGAACGATGTTCTCTCTCTCTCTCTCTCTCTCTCTCTCTCTCTCTCTCTCTCTCTCTCCCCCCTATATTCTTTCATCGCTATTTCGACCAAATTACAAAAAACCACAAAATTCATTAAATAAATTACAAGTCCAACGAATCATGAAAGTAGAATACAATTCAATAGTCAAACGAAGAGAAAAAAAAAATAATAAAAGTTGCGCTCGTATGTCCATTCGTTTCGCCGTTCGCGCAACACCAAACTTACACATTGATCGGAAATCGTATCCGATACTTACGTCGAGTTTTAACGACAAAACGTGTGTCATCGACGTTGAATTTTAACGAACAATGCTTACACCGAATGTGGATCGAAGAAGAGTTAGCGGCGCTCAGTATAGGCCAAGGAACTGGTACTATAGTGAATACAGGAGCTGTTGCCAGGAACGAGAGTCAGTAAATAGCTAGACTAGAAAAAAAAAGATAGATGATCTGTTCGTTAACTGGTCGATTATTCTATGAACGAAGAATGAAAAGATTGGTGGGATCTGCGCTTTCCACGATACAATAGTAAAAAGAATATATAACTGGGGTGGGAGTTGATGATTTGGGAGGAATAAGGTTAACCTCAAAGCAGGGTGTAATTTGTAAAAATTTCGCTTAAACTCAAAAAGTAAAGAAAACAAAACCGCGGTACATGTGACAAAAATTTGTTTAAAGCTCGCTAAGTGTGTGTGTGTGTGTGTCTCTCTCTCGCATACTTTAAAATAATTAAAAGTAGTCATTCTCGAAGGAATGCGATTATCCAACGGGGGCACAAGACACTGCCAGCAGTGCCGACAGTCGTATCAGCCGCGATATCGTGATTTTCGAATTGATAAAAACACAGCCCTCCCCTCTCACGTTAAACCACGAAATGTTCTTTCGATCTACGCACCGTAGCCTAGGTTTCGCTCTAGAATGCTACATCGCCGCTACTGGCTAGACTAATCAATTTTATACACGGCGCATTTTCGACGTTTAAAAGAAGTACAAACAAATGTACAGAAAAAACCTTACTTCATTGTTATAAACTCTAAGGCGTATGTACAGTTATTTACAAACATTTCTCGTTATCGTATGTCAGCTTAAGAAAAATATCAACGTGGAACAGTGTACGATTCGTTTGTTTTTACGAAGAAGAATGAAGGAGAACGCTGAGGGGTAATGGTGACCATTTAATTTTCTCTCCGCTCGGCCAGCTTTTTCTGGCAATTCCCGTTCAAAGACGATTAATATGAATGTCTGTCGTAGCATGAAAATACTGCCTGAACATTTGTAAGTGACAGATAACTTCTGGAAGAACGTCAGAAGGCTCAAATGTTTGTAAGAAATCAATATTCCTTAAGAGCCTTGAATTAATGAAATTGTTTATTCAGATTGCGTACATTATAAAGTCATCGTAGCTTTTCGAATTTCTCGTAAGAGCTATCATCAAAGTAGAATTTCTGTAGCTACTAAAAAAGTTTTAATGTTCGCAGTACGAGATGTTTATTATGGTAATACATATGTGACCTCTTTAGGTCTGCAGAATCTTCAAGTGATCTAAACTTCGAATAATATTCAAAGAGATTCATTATTTTTTATTATACGTTTGCAGTAACTTGAAGTAGGTTTCGTTATCAGTAACCACGTATTTAATTAACAATTACTGTAATTATTTTGACAAAAGTGAGAAAGTCTTGAGAAACTTAACAATATTAATTCGTATAAAATTTAGAAAGATCACAATAATATTCAACTCTGAATGGCTGATTTTGTTGTTAATTACCTAATTACTATAAATAATGTATGAAAAGATTTTTAAAAAAGTAACAATCACAAAAAATGTATATTACGTTCCTCGTTTATGGAAGTTTATAATTTTTTTACTAACAATATCTGCAATTTTCTTAAGCATTTTGAAACAAATTCGAATCTATTAAAATTATCTATAAATATTTAGAACTGTTCTGCTATCACGGTCTGCATAAAAATCCTTTGCCCAAAGAATTTGATAATAAAAGTATTTGTAATAAAAATAGAGATAGATTATATTTTATAATATTTTTTAACCTAAAATGCGAGCTTATAATTGTATTGAAACTTTACATGTTTTTCTACGTCCTTTTACCACGCTTTTCATTACTATTATACTATCATTTCGGTATGTCAACACCTACGTAATTTTCGAGGCTCTAAAGGATATCAATTCTACTTCAATAAACATTTAAGTCTTACGAATTCATCCAATCATTATAAAGATTTTGTGTTAGAATAACATTTTAAGTAACCCGAACGAGGATATACCGGGTGGTCCGATAAGAATTAGCACTTGAATATTTCCATTGTTTGTGGAGATATGAAAAAACTTTATCAACAAAGGTTGTTCAGTATAGAGGATGCTATAATGTGGCAGTAATAATTTTGTTTGCAGGTGGAGGAATTTCGAAGATTTCAAGTTCACCTTCATTTTTTTTATGCATTATTTGATGCAGTTCGACATTCTCTATAAAAAAAGTGTACTAACCTATGTACGTCGAAAAGTGATTTGTTTAGGAGATAGGTTATGGAAATACATACAATCGTCTTGTACATACTAATATTGCAATATTACATTTTGTGCGATAACTTATCACGGTTCTCATAATTCAATATTTGCTGCGCCTTTGCGAATCTAATGTTCCAGATTAAACGCCCCACATCTCGAACCGCTCGTTAACAAGTGCCTTTATAACGTAATCGCCTTTCCATAGCCTATCTCCTAAACTAATAATTTTTCGACGTACATAAGTTAACACAATTTTATAAAGAACGTCGAGTTACATCAACCAAGGCATAAAAAAGCATACTATTTCATTGAGAAAACTGAAGATGACCTTGAAATTTCCGAAACTTCCATAGCTGCAAAAAGATTATCACTGCCATATTATAGTCTCCTCTATACTGATCAAGTTTTGTTAGTAAAGTTCTTTCATATCTTCGAAAACAACGGAGATATTCTTTTTAGATCATCCTCTATATACAGGGTATTAATTTTAACTCGAGCACCTAAATTCTTTTCGCTACTATCGAAAGTAAGGAAGAATAACTAAATGGGATGTATATTGTTTTAAGGCGTGCATCTAATGGTGATAAAATAAATTCTATGAAGGTCATTTTAACGGTTTTTTCAAGGTCATCGTACTTTTTTTTGCATATTAACATTTTTATAACGCGCATTTTTTATAACGCGATGTGGTAGTCGGCGTCAAGATGAGTTCAACGACTTACACACCACAACCTTGAAGTGACCTTCAAGGCGAAAAGATCAGCTTGCAGAAGTAAATAAACGTAATAAGTAAAAAATATTTTATCACCATCAGATGCACGTCTTAAAACCATATACATCCTATTTAGTCATTTCTTTCTACTTTTAAATAGTAGCGTAAATAATTTAGGTGCTCGAGTTAAAATGTACATCCTGTATATATATGTGTGTGTATGTGTGTGTGTGTGTGTGTGTGTGTGTATACACACACACGGACATACTTATATATATATCATCAAATCGTTCAAAACTGTTGGAAAATGGAGAAAGAAAATTGAATGATCATCATCAAGTATACCTAAAAAGCAACTTCAATACGCAGATACCATCCGCTGCTATCAGTCAAAGTAGTCCTCGCTATTCTGCACAATATCGTGCTTCTTTCGACAGTCCGGACAGTACCATTTGCCCTTCGGCGGCACCATGATACCGACACACTCAAAATGAAACCATTCGATACGGCAGTCCTCGCCGTCACAAGCAATCATCTCCGAGACCTCGTCGTACGGGCACTGACAATAACAGTACAAATTCACTGGCCGTTCTGGTATCGGCGGATTGCTTTCTGGCAGACGTGCTTGTATCTGCTGCTGGGCGGCTTCCACTTCAGTGTCACTGGAATCACTGCTGCTTTCTGCTGGTTCCTCCGACTCGGTCGCGGAGGCCGTGGCGATTCTTAGATTCTCCTGTTGGCTCTCCATTGCTCTATACGCCACTGTCTTGCCACCGAACGACAATCTCGGCGGCATCGGTTTCACAGTTGGCACAGCCGCGAACGAAGGGGCCTCCATTTTTCTCCATTTCATCGTCGGCTGCTTCTCCACCTCCTCGTCACTGGAATCCCCGTAGAATCGTTTCGGCACTCGCTTCCGCTTCGAAGAACGTTTATTCTCTGTCTCGGAACCACTGCCGCTGATATTCTGACTCGTTATCCCTATCGTTTGCTGTTCAACGGCCACGTTCATAGTTTGTATATCACTCGTCGAGATGCTCGGCGCGGAATTTATACTCTGCTGCATCAGCACCGGCGACGAAGCCGAGAAACACGGATTATTCTTTTGGTAAAACGCTTTAGGAATGTTTAATTTAATCGACTCCACAGCTGGCACTGCATTACGCTGTTTCGTTCTCTCACCTTTTTTCCGTTTCTTTGTTTTTACCTTCCTCTTTTGCTGCACTGGTTGATCTTCGGTGGTACCAGGCATTGGGTCGGGAGAGGGAATCGCGGCGGTGTCTGTTAGGCCGTTATTCAACGGCACTGTAGTCTCCACAGACGCCGGAGCAACCGCTGCTAGAAGTAACAACTGATTTCGTTTTTCGGCAAGCAATTTGTTCGCAAGCTGCTGCGGATGTTCGTCGTAAAAATCTTCGTCAGTCTCCGTCTCGTCAGTTTCCAAGTCGGACTCCTTAAGCGGAATCTGTGGCGGACAGACAGGATCGGCCGAAATCGTTGCGTCTCCATTCTTCGTCTCCGCAGAAGTTCCTTTGTTCTCGACGTCTATGGCTGCAGATTCCGATTCCTGCGCGGTTTCTTTCTCCTTCTTTCGCTCCTTACGACTGGACTGTTTCTTCGGCGAACCGTCCGATGTGGAACTGTCGGAATCGGAACTACTACTAGAACTTGAAGAACTGCCGGACGAAGAACTGCTACAGCTACAGTTCGTTCCACAGGAACAACTACTCGAATCACTGTCACTGGACGAATCACTTGACGAAGTGCTTCCGCTTTGTTTCTTTTTCTTTGGACTTTTCACTTTCTTTCTATTCGGATCGCTTTCATTAACGCTTTGTATTCCATTGCTACCAGACGGACTCCTTTGCACTTTACTGGTGTGATCCTGGTCCCCGTTCGAGTTTACTTCTTCTTTGTCTTCTACTTTGGACCCTGACTCCCCTTCCTTTTCTTTTTCCGACCATACCACACAGTAATCGTGGTCAGCCAATACTATACTCCTCAAGAATGCCACGTCAGTCTCTGGTTCCTGTTCGTCAATCGAAATATCATTACCTGGCTCTTTTTTCTGCAAGCTGGCTGTGTATGTTTTAAAGTTATCCCAAATACCATCCATAATTTGTGCACCTTGTTCCTTTTCTTCCTCATTCTGTTCAACCTCGACTATGTCTGTAGCTGGCAGAGGAGAAACAGACTTTGGACAAGCAATGGGCGATGCTGCACTTTCTTCGATTGACTTAGCCTTCTCGGTCTCTGTAGGCTCTTTTATCTCAACCTTTTCTTCCTCAGAGTCTGTATCACTTTCAGATGAGAGATTCAAAGGCGGCAGATCATATACGTCGACCACCTTCTTCACAGGTTCCTTAGACTCCTTTATGGAATCAGATGTTGTGGCAATACTGTCAGTTGTAATTAATTTCTCTTTATCGATTTTCTCTTCATCGGTCACCAGTTGTTGTTGATTCACTGAATCTGTCAAATTTGTGCTAATAGGTGGTGGTTCCTTGTGAGCATTTTCATGCTTGGATAATAGTTTTCGAGAAATAAACCGGTCAGAGCATTCGCTGCAACCATATGGCTGGTCTCCAGAGTGTAACCTTTTGTGCACTTTTAAAGCAACGGCTCTAGAAAAACTGGATCCACACTCCTCGCAAACGAAAGCAGTCGGTGGTATACAAAAGTGATAAATATGCGGCCATTTTTTCTGTAAACACTTCTTGCACAATACACTTTCTGTCCCATGTTTCCAAAACAAATGTTTCGTAATATCTGGTTTATTTCTGTATGCAATACCACATCTATAGCATAAATGGTGAAGCTTGTGTTTCCAAACATGATTTGAAAGCCGTTGTTGATTCCCAGTAGATTCTAAACAGACGTCGCATGCATGGTGTCGCTTTCGTAAATGCACCATTAATCTGAACGCAGATGGTAGACTTCCCGTGGGACAAAGACAACATCTGTACTTGACGTTGATGTTTGGAGAATATGTGCCAGGACACAAATGACAAAGTAATTCGCTATAACTATAGAAAGTAGATTTACACATTATACAAATTAAGATTGTCTTTTGATGCATTTTCCGATTATGCAAGTAAAGCTCCTTGTGTACTGCTGAGTGAAATCGACAATGAAAACACTCGTATGTCCGTACGTCTGGAACATTGTAGGTACCAGTACTACTACTATAAGAATCTAAATTAAAGAACTGAAGGTCCAACTCATCGAGGGATTTCTTCACTCTAATGATAAATTGTTCTGATTGGATTATTATGGCAGGATGCTGAGGTTGGAACTTATGTTCTCCAAGCATGTGTAAACCCAATTGTTTACCGTTTACTGCTATATGGCGTGCATGGTTACAGTATACGCAAATTGGACTTGCTACTTGTATGCAACGTTTCAATAGATCTTCTATTTCCAGACTATCTAACGTTCCGTCAACGTTAAGATCAATAGATGGAACATCTTCTCCAGCGAGCATGATTCCATCGCTTGGCTGCATTTGTGATTGTATACCATCATTTTCCTCACTATGCATTACATCCTTAGATTCCTCGTTAACTTCCTGTCTTTCATTTGTATCTATTTCAGCTGTACTTTCTTCTGTAGCTTCATTAATTTGGTTTCCATTTTCTGCAACATCCGTATTTGAATTACATTTAGTTTGTGATGTCACATTTAATTCATCAGTTTCTTCAACTTCGTCAATCTCCTCAGCATTACTGTCCACCACCGCTAATTTGAAGCTATCAGAATCACTGTCACCTTCATTTGCCTGATCGCTATTGTCATTGTCCATGTCTCTCTCGAGAGCATTAGACTTTTTATTTTCCCTTAATGGACTCTCCGCGTTATTATTTTCCTCAGACTCTTTGCTGGTGTCGTGATTTTCTATACCACCGGTATTAGATGTAACAGAAAACTGAGAATTTCTATTGGTACATATTTTTATAACTAGACTTCTATCGGAAGAAGCGACGGCATTAAATGACACTGAAGATTGAGATTCATTAGGTACATTAATGTTTTCTGTGGTCTCATTTTTGCAATTCTCTTCTTTAGTCTGTAAATCTGATGCAAGTGATTCATGTTGAGGACTAAATAACGACCGACTAACAGGACTGTGAACAGGACTTTCAGATGCCTCAGAACTAGAATCATCTTTTGTTTCTAACACAACCTCCATCCTATTATTTTCGGTTGTATTTTCTTCCGCTTCTTTATGCTCTGTATCAAGTTCACGCGTTCTAATATTAATGTCCTCTGTTGAGTTCACAATTTCAATATCAGGTTTTTCTGCTTCATCAGAATCTGATTCTAGCTTCTCAAATGTGTCTAATGTATCATTTAAACCTGTGTCTTCCTTCTTGTTTATATCGCTCGACTCTTGTGCACTATCTGTACAACGTGATACTTCCATAATAGTTTCTATTACACTATCATATGGCTTATTATGGTTGGCTACATCAATTGATGACTTTATTTCAGAAACATTTTGACAAAACTCTCTTTCACTCGTCTCTTCTTTCTCCTCGCAAGAGTCTTCAACACACTTTGAGACTTCCATTATTGTCTCCGAGACTGTATCTTTAACCACATTCTGAACCTCATTTTGAGAATTTTCACCACTGCTTAAAATATCACTAAAAGTTGGACTTTCATTTAATTGAGACACAGTTTTATTGTTTGCCTTTTTTATGTGTGTATGCACTTTTTGTTGATTAGAAACACCATCTTCTATATGCTTAGACCTATTATTTTTTATTGACTTCCTTGAAACACTTTTATTTCCAATATTCACAGTCCTATCAAGTATATGTGTCGGTATTATGCTTGTTTGTGTAGGAGGGGATACAGCAGAATTTGCTTCTCTACTTGTATCAATAGCTAAACTGCATGTACTTGCATGAGAGCCTGTCTGCCTACACAAAGTGCATATAGATGCAGTGACATCTTGTTTAGATGTTGGTGAACAAAAATGATTGTAAAAGTTATCTGTTTCAGAGAAAACCTTTTCACAAGTGCAACAAACTAAGTAACAGGATCCTTTGAATGCACCATAAAAATCTTCAACAGATGTAAACGCCATTTCAGGAACACTGTGATTTTTAGTTAAGTGATACGACAGCCTTTCTGCCTGACCAAACATCCCAAGACAAAATAGACATATATGGCGCTTGTGTATGTCTCTCATGTGTAAAAATAAATTCCAATTTTCAAAGTAAGTGCCACATGCTGCACATAAATAAACTTTCCTTGTAATCTTAAAGTTAGAAGAATGCGACACTGTGGATGATTCCGATGTGCTGGGCATTGGTGTCATTGTGGTATTACAAGTACACAAATTTTGTTTTAATACAGAACACAAATTTGATGATGAGTAACACTTTAAACACTTATTCTTTGACGAAGGTTGAAGACCCAAATATTGTGCATATTCTGTTATTTTGCCTCGCTTAATTTCCACCTTTTTTTCTTTACTATTCTTCAACAATGTATTAGAATGTGACAATTGTGGTTCTTGTCCTATGCTTCTTGATGTATTTGTTTGAATTTCTTGAGCTTGTGCCAGGATACGCTTCTTAAAACCTTTAAATACAATTTGAGATCCTGTACTATTATTCTTGCTTGACGAATCCTTAGATGCAATTGAATTATATCGTAATAATTGCTTTTCTTCTTCTATGACGTCGCTGTATGTGTTATCGATAGAAGACTTCAATGAATTTCCAAGAGAAGTATCTTTAAGTTGCTGCTCTCCCAAAACATTCCACGTATCCACAACTTTACTTTCACCGTCTTCATCTTCCATAATATATATATATATATATATACACATAACTATTAATGTTTGTTATTATTAATTATTATATATAAGCAATGCCTATTGTTAAAATTATATTGAACAAAATTATGGCATTAATAAAGAAATGTATTACATATTTAGAAGTCTATACGTGTGAATTAAAAGTAAGTTAAAAGAACATGAAACTGATCACAATTGATATGTGCACAAAGCCACCTGTTACACTTAATGTGTGTATATTTTTGGTTTAGCTCACTGAATAAAAGTTTCAAATTACTATTTTAGATAAGATCCAAAACTACTGCACCATAATTTTAGAGAAATAAACATTTTACTTCACTTTTAAAGGCACTTTAAAATTGCATCGAACATTGTACAAATTACATAGTTATCAACATATAAAAGATAGAACTTTATGTTTAATACATGCTCTATAAGGTAACAAGCATTTAATATAATACCTCTGATGAGAGTATTACAAAACTGAGCACATGGTATGACATGCAAGAACTCCTTCGCTGTGACCATCACTGCACAATGATTCAGCCCCAGAAATTCCACCAAAACAGATTACTATGATGAAACTAATTTCAGAGTAAGAAGAATGAAAATACACACAGGGACAATACACCACAGTAGACGAGCTTCAGCGAGAGAGTATTGTTATAAGCTTTTGTTGAACACAAGATGATCCCAGTGTAACGAGGGTTGCGTACCTTCCGGTAAACTCCGGCTCGAATGAATTGCTTGAAATTATGTATAACCGTGCGCGGTTTGTAAAAGATAAACGATAGTATCAGACGCTCTTGAAACGGTACGAAGTGGAGCACCTTAAGTGGTTCGTCGCAATCCGCGCCGAAAAGGTTAGTAAAATGGCGTCATATCAATGAGTACGGCTCCGTCCGTGCTTCCAACACGTCCCCAGTGATGCCACCTTTCATGTTCCACCATAACCTGCTATAGAAGAGGTTAGACCAGAGCCATTGAGAGAAATAGAATTTGTAATGTTTTGATTTTTTGATAAACGGAACAAGACTTTAAATCCGCCTTGGAGAACGTCCGACTTGAGCGCGAGTGCGCTATTGTCTGACTCACGACTGTCGTGCAAAAACTCGAAACACAAAGCGACGGCATCTCTCGTGGACGCACTCATGTACGCCCAATGTAGTGCCTATACTGCCTATCAGTGCTATGACATCCCCACTCTTATTTTCAACCTGACCCAACCAGCCGTAGCGTCAAATTTGTGTTAATATGTAAAATCTTTTATTCTCCTCCTTGTGATGCTTCAAAAAATATTAATAATGTCGTTTATAGTTTTATCAGATTACCAACGCCGTAGATCGATTCGAAATAAACTATCTTTACGTAAAAATTATATAACAGAATATTTTTCACTTAACATAACAATTGTCCTATTTCGAATTCAACTGAATCAACACATATATATTAAACAGGTATATTGTACATATTTACAATTACTTTACAGCAATAATACATCTTTAAGTATAAATTTAATTAATTTTGTGAATGTACTTGGTAAATTTATTCCAGGTACTAAAATAAATGTTAAATCGAATATTAATTTGACATAAATTTCAGTAATTCTACCTCCTACAATTTGATATCGGGAATTATTGAAATTTATGCCAAATTAACATTCGATTCAACATTTATTTCAGTACTTGAAATAAATTTACTAAATGGCACGAGATCCGTCTTTTGTGCCATTTTTTTCCCCTAGCGGAAGCCGAGTTTGCTCACGAGGATACCTTTTTCTAAGCGCAGAAGTGGGGTGAACCAGGGTGAACAACTATTTTAATCGTTATTCTTTTACTCATTTTGTACGAATAATTGATTCTACGTTCAGATATGTACCTACCGCATGCCTTTCTTAAATAGAGTTCTTTATGTCAGTATTTATTAATTAAATTATTACTTTGAAATGCGCATTTATACAACATTGTCTTTTTCGTCTGGTATAATTACAACTTTATATTGCCATTAATACAAGAAAATATATTAGAATTGAACTGAAATTAGTAAAAATATAAAGTTTTTCATTTTATTTCTCACGAAAAACAGATTTTAAAAAGAAATTATGAAACTACAGAAGCCACATGATGCGTGTTATCATATATATCTCAGGAAATTGTGTAGTACTGTTTCTAAGAGTTGCACAAAATTGAATAAATGACAAAATTGCAAGAACTATAAATTGTCACATAAAATAAATAGTACTTTCAGGTGTAATTGTTGTGGACGCATCGGAAGGTTCAAACAAATTTCGATTGGTTTATGAACACGAATGCATTAAGTATGTGCGTTAGATAGAATGTGTGAATGCGCCAATGCATAATACACCATCTCATTTATTCAGTATTTCATATATATCATTTGTTGATGCTATCACTTTTTGTGTATTTTTATGTGTTGTCGATTCACGACCAAACGTAGCATACATTATATTTTGCTGAAGTTGAAAGATTAACGAGGAAAATAGTGCGAGCATCAACACAGCTCGTTCACGGACGGTCGGACGTTGTCATTTGAAAACGGAAGCCATCTTGTGGCCGAGCCTCCCATATTATACAGGGAATAATAGTTCAGCGACTATTTGTCCCGTAAAATTGTTTCGTACTTTTTCCATTACGTCTAGACTATGCATGAATTATTGTATCACATGTTTACATAGCCATGGCTGCGACGAGAAAGTTGCAAGGTGAGGAGAATATGTTTCCAGCATGTTTACATTTAGAAATTTTGTTATGGCCCTGCACCACTACAACTTTGCCTACGATCTTGCTTCGCGTTCTGCAGTTCTCTACCGGTTTAAAACGCTTGTATTTACAACTAGTAGCGGCCTATTTTTAACTTGCGTTACCTATTTGCATGCAGGCTTCTGTGCCTGACAGTTGGTACAGGTTGCCAGGGTATGATGGATTGGTATGTTCTCTTCAACATTTCATATGTTTCTTTAATAAAAATCTGTTCTTTCTAATATAAGTTACGTTCGTAAGTGTCTAATATTACCTTTTTATGTCAGCATAACCTTTTAAACACCTTCTTATTTCTTTTGTATCATATACATGTTAGTGGTACGAGGACAGTATATATGAAATATTTGTCAATGGTAGCTTCTAACATAAAGTGGTCACGTACAAATTACATTTCTAAGATATTAGAGGGATAGTGGTTTCTACTTTCTTTCATGATAACTCGTAAAGAAGTCGATACAAAAATAATAAAGCGATCCATTATTATTATTTATAATGTTTTATTCCATCTGTTACTTTTTTAGCTAGATCAGTTGTACCTATTAGGTATTGCTTATATAGTGATTTTGAAACTGTTGTTGCACAATGTAGCTTGCCAAGTGTTCTAATTTAAAAACTGAATTATTCAAATAAATGACCTGTATAAGGCATATATTGTAAGAAGTTCATACCTTTTTTTTATATAAACGAAAGGTAACTGGTTATTAAAAGACTCAGCCTTTAATCCATTTGGTTTTGTATTGAATTCTATTAATAGTATTTGGAATGATATTGTATACTTTTACATTTTATGTAAACATTTTGAAAGACTACATGTGTGACTTTCAAATTCTAGGTGAAATAGATCGGTGCCTTAAAAAAGTGACAGAGGGTGTGGAGACATTTGAGGACATTTGGCAAAAGGTTCATAATGCTACGAACAGCAATCAGAAGGAGAAATATGAAGCTGACCTTAAGAAGGAAATCAAAAAACTCCAGAGGTTACGTGATCAGATCAAAACCTGGCTTGCGTCAGGCGAGATTAAGGATAAAAGTACCCTGCTTGAGTATAGGAAGTTAATTGAGACTGTAAGTATAATTTAATGAAATGGTGAAATTGTACATATTACTGTATAACGTGTACTAAATGCAGTGTATTCTTTTTAGCAAATGGAGAGGTTTAAGGTTGTAGAGAGAGAAACAAAAACGAAAGCATATTCGAAAGAAGGTTTGGGAGCAGCTCAGAAACTTGACCCAGCTCAAAAAGAAAGAGAAGAAGTTAGCAATTGGCTTGCAAATTCTATAGATACTTTAAATTTTCAGGTATGGAACAAAAGATTATAAGAATAATCTTAAAGATAGCTAAAGATATTAAACGCACGAAAATTTCCTTGTAACAAGTATATTGTTCTGATGATTGGTTTTGGTATAGCTGGATAAATTTGAATCGGAGATGGAATCGTTACTCGCAGGGAAGAAGAAAAGGTTAGATAAAGATAAGCAGGATAGGATGGATGAATTGAAAGCGAAGCTTGATAAACACCGTTTCCATATTCGTAAATTGGAAACATTGTTACGTATGTTGGACAATATGTCTGTTGAAGTTAATACTGTAAGTATGCTAATAACGTAGTATGCTAATTATCGTGAATTAAAATTCTATTACGCATAGGTGATACTAATTAATGGTTTGCAGTTGTTAAAAGTTCTTTTTTTCCTTTGTTTTAGATTAAGACGATAAAAGATGACGTAGAGTATTATATAGAATCCTCGCAGGAACCTGGTTTTGAAGAAAATGAATATATTTATGATGATATTATTGGTCTCGATGAAGTAGAGTTGTCTGGGGTTGGTATTCCTTCATCAGCAACTACCGATAGCAACAACAGCAATGAGACTGGAGGTACACCAACCTCAACTAACTCTGGTACTTCGCCCATACCATCACCTCCATTAAGTTCCACCATGCACAACCATTCAAGTGATAGTTCTACGGATAATGACAAAAAAACAAAGGTTTATATATTGTCATGCTTAATATTGGTTCATAACATAGTATTTTTTATGGTTTCCTCTTTGAATATACATATAACTTGTAGTTCATAAAAAGCAGATCTTTAATGAATGTTTTCATTTCAGCCTGTGAAACCTACAGCAGTCAGGCCATTATTAAATTCACAAGCGAGCATTCCAACCACGGGAAGCACTGCCAGTATAAAATCGAATTTATTATCGAGCAGCACTCCAAGCAAGACCATTCCCATGACACCTAGCCATAACTCGCCTAGTTCTACAAGTCATCATATTGCTACAACTAATGCAGGCAACTTTGCCACGGTTGCTGCTTCGCATAGTAATTCACAAGCCATCCATTCTACCTCTAGTAAAACATCTTGTAAGTACTTTTGTGAAACACCATATACCGATGAAATCTTTTGATATTAATATTTCTTTAATAATTTTATTATTCCTTTTATTTTTTTACATTTCCAGCTCATAGCAGCGAAAATGGTTTGTTATCGTCTTCATCTACGTCCAGTGTAACCTCGAATGTACCACAAACGATCTCACAGCAGCACAATAACCCTGCACCTATACAGACGACACACGTATTACACAATCAACAAAGTCAGAATCATAACAGTGAAACTGAAATGACGACGCCAATCCCACCATCTTCTTCGCCACAATCATCAGTTAGCAGTAGGTCTTCACCTCCGCCCGCAAATTCCTGCTCGCCAGCGCCATCCGCTGCCAATGGTCTCATGTCTAAGCTTCCTGATGGCATGTCCTCTTTGAAATCTATAGCCCAACAAGTAATTGTCCGAGCAGGTTTGGAAATACCGCCGTCCGAGTCGAACAGAAACATCTTTGATAGTGCTATGGCAAATAACAACAATAATAATGCCACTTCGGAAGTACACATTCCTCCTTTACTTGGTGTCGCGCCTCTCGGACCAGTACCCCTTCAAAAAGAACATCAGCTTCAGTTCCAGATGATGGAGGCTGCTTACTATCATATGCCTCATCCATCTGATTCTGAACGGTTACGACCGTATTTACCAAGAAATCTGTGTCCAACGCCTCCATATTATCAGCAGGTATTATTCTAACATTAATTGATCTTACGAACAGTATTTTAAAGGTACCTGTAACTATAAAATACTTAGTTTTTTTTTTTTGTCCTTTTATTCTCTTTCATGTTTATTTTTATTCAATAGGTTCAACTTCCCCATTCTGATACTGTGGAATTCTTCCAACGTCTTTCTACAGAAACGTTATTCTTCATATTTTATTATATGGAGGGTTCTAAGGGCCAGTATCTGGCTGCAAAAGCATTAAAGAAACAAAGTTGGAGGTTTCATACCAAGTACATGATGTGGTTTCAAAGACATGAAGAACCAAAAGTAATCAACGAGGAATATGAGCAGGTTGGTGACGTCGTTTTATTTTATTTGACAAAAGACAATATAAATTACACAAATTTAACATAAAATAGAAAGAAGTTGATTATGTAACGTATGATTATTTTAGGGAACCTACATTTATTTTGATTACGAAAAATGGGGACAAAGGAAAAAGGAAGGCTTTACATTTGAGTACAAGTACTTAGAGGACAGGGATCTGAATTAACAGTCCTGTTGCTCATGGAGTCTCCGAAATGCACTATTTCTGTACCGGTATTATCAAAAATCGAAAAGACAAATTTTATTTTTTACAATTCTATATTTTCACAAAATATAATTTTATTTATTGGTAAAGAGTATCTCAGAAAAAAAGTAAATGAAACAAAAACGAAAGAAAAGATCGTGCATAGCAGGAAATGAAGGCACTTCATTACATTTCAATGTTGCGACGGTAAATCTCTTCTATATGTATATTCCTTTTCGAGAAAAAGAAAACAAAACACCAATCACGAAATCTGAAGAAGCAAAAAAAATGCAACTGTTATGAAGGATGGAGTAAGTTAATCGGGGACAGTAAATTGTAACTATAAAAAAAGTAATGATATGAGAGGCACCAGAGACACACTTGTAACATTTTAGTGTGTGGTGTGTGATACAAGAGGAAGAAGTTATACTCGCTGGCGACTGACTCTGTAATACCAGTACAAACATGCGTGCGGCTCATCTGCCGCTCATGCAATGGTATGTCTTAATGTTAGATTATAAGTAGCCTTTTTGTATAAAGTATATTGAGGTATAAAATCCTTAAATTGAATTACTGTACAGAATGTGTAGAAATAGTGAATAATAATATTATGGAATATATTTTATTTCTCATTTAAATGAAACCTAAGTTGTTTCAATTTTTATCACATCTGGCACATTTTTCGACACCTTGCATTCGGAACATTCCATCCATTAGGTATTTTTGCCCACGACCAGGTTATTAGCTGCATTTTGGCTAAATGAAAACGAGACTCGAGCTCGTTAAAGTCAAAAGCGCATTCACCGCGTATCTATAAGTGGCATACTTAGGCAGAGTAAGCTACTGTTCTACACACCTTATGAATTCTGGAGTCTTGATTTCATTCTTTTCCAGCAGACCCGACAGCGACATATTGTATTCGTCGAATGGCGATTCGTGATAATCACTGTGCATATGTATTTATGAATTATCGAAAAAATGAGGTAGAAAGAGAGAAAAAGAGTGAGTGAGAGAAAGAGCGAGTGAGAAAGACAGAGCTACATTGTACGAACTTATTTATTATAAATTGTCGATATCACCAAGAAACGAAAGATTTTTAACGAGAAACAAAAGAAAAAGAAACATTTTCAGTAATTTCAGATGTACATAGTTGTTTGTATACTATATTATTCATTTGAATTCCAATGTTTCTTATTAAATATCATGAGAAAGTATCGGCATCTAAAATAAATAACTTCAGACAAAATGTCTTTGCTTCAGAGATTCAAGGTGATCGCTTGCACGCGTGCTATTTATCATTAAAAAGCCTTCGACAACGAGATTAAGCATATTGCATCCCCTAGTAATACAGAGAAAAATCGAGATTTCTCGTTTTCACTTGAGCACTAGTATGGAAATCTACTTACTAAGCAAACAATAGATGTATTCTAAGCAGATAACTTTTGTTAAAAACGAAATTACAGTACTTAACAATTTTTTTTTCATTCAATTCAGAGAGACAACATTCGATAACATATATACATCTTCAAAACAAATGTTGTTGCCGTAAATATTGGTTTGCAAGTTCACAATACACTTCAGATTTGATTATTCTCAGTATATTCGACGAAAATCTTGCCAACGTGATTACACATCATCCACTGATAATGACCCTTTTCATAGTGTTCAATATGTTAATGTGTATCGAAGGTGTCATGTTTGTTAATAATACAGTAACGGAAGTTAGGTTTGGATTAGGCAAGACTTGCAGAATTACACTAAACCAAGGGTATTCACTTTATGCGGCACTACATTATTCTCCGGTGCACATTTTATGAGATTGGTTTTGCAATTCCTCATGTTCGAACAGAGATTCAACTATTCAGACTGGCTCATGTTATATGCAAAGAAAGAGATAAGGATTTGTTACCACTTTATACAGTTAAATAATACTGTAGCCCTTAGAAGTCGCATTATAATCATAATGTTAAAACTGAACAATATTACTCCTGAGTATCTTGTACAATGCTAATCAATGATTTTCTATAGAAGTTTGAAGAAATTTTACAACAGCGTGCTGCCGTATAACAGTTTTGCATTTGTTACAATGTTTTCCCGCTCTTTGAATGTATTTACATGCTTCTAATCTTTATCTCAAATTTTCTAGTAAACAAGGTTCTGCTTTGTAATTCATGTAGACAGAAATTAACAGACACCTAAATTGGTTGTGTAGGCTGATGTTTTCTGCTTTTGGTGCTTTATTAATATCATCTAACAAATAGTACTACAAGTGATAAATGACACAGGTTAAAAGATTGTGATTTTCATTATCTGTTTTGTATTGTTCTTATTTGGGGAACAGATGTTTGTTTTGTGAAAACAACTTAAACAATCTATTATCATAGATTGATTTCCTTGATATAAAAACATTTATCTTATTCTACAGCTTTTAAAGCTAAACGTTTGGTTTTTATTTGTTAAAGCTCAATTTTAACACTTAATTTGATTAGTTATGTAGTAATAAATTGATACAGCGGTAATCGATTGGTTCATCAGTGAAATCTATTTTTGTTATTCTGTTAAAGACAGAAATTACAAGAAAAAAACTTAAATGTGGTTTTGTAAATTGACACTTACTTAAGGATCTTAAAACAAACTATGAGTTTTGGATGCACATACATATGAAAGGAATCGTGATCTGATTTATAAATAAAACAAACGACAATGATAATAAAATTAAATATTATCCGGTGTTCAGATTATTTATTAAGAATTAACAAACATATCTTACAAGATGACTATGTCGCTCAACCTTTTTTTCCCTTTCCTTTATGTTTGAAGTGTATTCTTTTCCTGACTCCAACAGATTGTTCCGTGTCATCGTCCTCATTGTCGCCACGCTTTTTTCTTTTCCCAGATTTTTTACTGTCTTCAATGTCTTTCATTTCCTGAAGTGGTGTATTAAGGTTTTAGATAGAATGTTGCTTGTATTAATATTCAAATTAATTCCTAAAAAATTGTACTCACCATTTTAACAATACGTTGTGCTTCAGCTACTCTCTCCTGAAGCACCATTACTTCCTCTTCTTCCGTAGGATACAAGGGTAATTGTTTTGATATCAACTGTTCGATTCTTTGATATAATTCCACATCATACTGCGTTACAAATGTAATGGAACGACCGGAACGGCCAGCACGCGCAGTACGGCCAACTCTATGTATGTAATCTTTGCTGTGTGTAGGTATGTCGAAATTTATTACAATATCTACATGCGGAATATCAAGACCCCTATAAAAAGAAAGGATATGAAAATGTTGTAAATAAATAGATTTAACGAGATACACTTACCTACTGGCAACATCTGTAGATATAAGTATAGATCGATTTTTTGCCTTGAACTTAGTAAGAGCAGCTATTCTTTTATTCTGTGACATTTGTCCGTGTAATGGGACTGCAGTGAAGCCTAAATTACGTATAAGAAGGGCAGTCCTGACTGTATTATTACAAGTTCCACAAAAAATCATAAAACTATTGCCTGCCAGTTCGTTTAAGATATGTACTAAATATACATCCTAAAACGTAAGAATTACTTTAAAAACAAAAGTTAGAATTTTTTATATAAATAGCTTATAAGCTGTTTGTACCTTGAATTTCACTGGAACGAATATATAATATTGTTGTAACTTTTCAACCGTCTGATACTTTGTTGAAACTTCTACTTTAACTGGATTTTGCAAAGATGCACGTTGAAGTTTCTGAACTTTCTTTGTCATTGTCGCAGAGAACAGTAATGTTCTCCTTTCTCTGGGAATTACCCTTAAAATTTTGTCTACCTCAACTTCAAAATCCATATTTAAAATCCGATCAGCTTCATCCATAACCTTGAACAAACAGAATTTTAGTTTTTATGAAATACAATGAATAAAAATAGTGATAATTACCAAAAATTTTAACGAACGTAGATTAAAACCCTTAGTGTTCTCCAAATGGTCAACTAATCTCCCTGGGGTGGCAATTAAAATATGTGGCTTTTTTGCTAATAATAATGCTTGAGACATCATGTCCATTCCACCTACTATCACGGCACATTTTACACCAATACTTGATCCTACAACACAATAAAGTTACAGAACTTACTATCATGGTATCTTGATATCTCAAAACACATTAAAGGTCCCTTTGTTACCTAAAGCTTCAAACTGTTCTGATATTTGAAATGCCAATTCCCTAGTAGGTGTTAAAATTAAAGCAAAATATCTTTGTGGACTATTCAATAATGCTTGTAATATAGGAAGTGCAAAAGCAGCTGTTTTGCCAGACCCAGTTTCTGCCAATCCTATTACATCTTTACCTATGAAATATAAATATAAAATAATTTATGAGTTTGTAATTTTAAATTTATACTATTATACTAGTTATTTACCTTGTAGTGCTAATGGAATAGCTTCACATTGAATTTTGGTAGGTGCTTTCCACTTTAGATCTTCACATGTTTTACATAAAGTATCAACAATCCCCTACAAATAAATAATAATTACTACGAATAATGTGATTTTATTATATTATGTTATAATGTATTTAATTTTACAGTCAATTATGACAATGACATTTATGATATTATTAATAATCATAAAGTGACTGAATCACTAAGAATACGAGGAAAGTTTTATAATGTTTAAAAACGACTTTTATGTCATTCTCGTTCATAAAATTTAAAAACTATTACATGTATCATTTTTAGATACTGTTTTTAACAACCACATACTGACCTAACCTATATTGTTCACTTTTTATTCGAAAGTTTACAAAAATAATATTTATTTATAACTACAAATTCATACTATAATATTTATATAGTTGTTTTACTGCTTTTTTAATTACAAAATGTTAAATAAGTACACAGAAGAAACGTTCCATTTAGGTTATGTTTTTTGTAAACAGATTACTGAACTTACCAAATCCTTCCAAGCTACTTCCTTAGAATTTTCTTCATCAACTTCCGCTGTTGATTTATTTTTTTCCATCATTCGATCCCTGATATTTGCACACTTATAACTTTTACAATTTTTAATGTAACCTCATGTTCATTACTATGTAACCCTTTTTAACACAGACGATTAAGATTGGTATACCTGTGTTCACAATTGTCACCATCGACATATATAGACGGAGCATGAACTGAGCGGGTGAGTAAGATTCGCGGTGAGGGGGTGGTTAGTTATAAATCTGGTAACTTCGTTCCTTTCCGGTGCTATTCGGGTATACAATCACGTTACATACATGTATGGTATGAGAGATGAAAAGAATATACTCATTATACGTTAAAAATTCCGTATGTCGTGTAGTTTGTATAGATATATGTATTTAACAAAATTAATAAATAGTATAAAGCATTAAATAATAGTTGGCACACAGTCCACCAGCCATTAATAACGAGCCGAATCGAGCCGAATGCATCCGAAGCTAACCGACGTATATTTAACGACCGCTGTCTTTTCCCCTCCAATCCGACGGACACCGCGCCAGAAGTGGTAGCTTATGCTCCGTCTATATATGTCTATAATTGTCACTTTCTAACGGGGCTGTTGGTAGTAGTACTAGTAATAAATTTCAGTAATTCCCGAGACCAAGTGGTAGGTGATAGGTCGGAGACCTTTCTTCTACACCTCGGCTTCCGTTAGCGGTTAAATTTTATTTTCCCGGACCAAAAATTATTGACTTTTTTTTTACCTCCTGATAATATTCAACGAGTAGAATCTGAAAATGCAAGTGTTAAGTTTAGGAATCCAGCGGTTCAAAAGTTATGCGTATATAAAACCAAGCATTTTTTGCGCACTTTACAGGTTATTTTAACGCCATATTGACTTCTATACAAAATTCGTCCAATCAGTGGTGTCACTGCTTGTAAGGAGATGCACGTGATGGCGGTCATTTTGGCGAGATAATTCAAATGTGCTTGCAAAAAGGAATCACTTATTCAAAGTAAAATACTCATTCTGTGATGGTTAGAGTCACATGTGCGAACCTTTGAAAGAACCTTTTAAAATAAACAATCGTAGAAAGTCGTCTGTTGTTTTGGGGGAGGCAATGCTTTTTTCTGTCCCACGTTCATAGGGCTACGTAACCCTGTTACCATTTTAGTATCAATACCCAACGTTACCGATAAAGCATGAATCCTGAGTATTATTAGCACAAATGAAGTGTTATATATTCCATTCATATTGCGTGTACTACATGATTTGACGAGAATAAAAACTGTGATTCATTTATTGTGAATTATTTACTGTGATTTCTATACTGTGATTTATTTACTGTGCATATTATGTATTCTATGTGTATTGTATAATGAAAAATATTTTTCCAATCAGTTATTCTATCGAAAGAAGACATCGATCAACGTCTACATCCTCAAAGCGTCTACCACTGCATTAAGTTACTGTAAGTTAAACTTAAATCATAATTCGATATTCATTGTTATATTCATATTCATCATCACATCGTAATGATAATTATTATTATTAATTTTAGTCTATCTATTAATAGACTTAAATTGTGACCATCCATTGTGCATACCAAGTTATTATTAATTCATTTTGCTCGTTGATTCTCTACACAGACTTGGGGTACGGGCAGTGGGTCTGTACACTAAGACTGTTTGCCGATCCCTCTGGTTTCTATTGAGAAGCCAGATATCGGAAGTGTTTAGTCTTTGCCTGGTAAGTAGGATTTGGAGAAAGGCTCGTGCGTGCAAGGGTACGAAGTAGTCGGGAGGCTGCTCCGTAAACGGACTCTGGTTAACAGAGAATCTCGCTTGCACTACCATGCTTGTGTACTCTTTTGGTTCGGGTCTGGTACGCAGGTGACCAGCCCAAAGCTCCATGACAGTAAAAGATGGATCCGGGTTAGCGAGGTGTCGCCCGTCTTTCCTATTTTCTTAAACCAGGTTCTGGCGACAACACTTTCATCGCGATACTTGTTCATACTGTAGTTTAACGCGTAGTTCTCGTAGACTTAATAACTGCTTGGTATATAGAATATTAGGTGCGTAAACGAAATGATTGATGGAACTTTTTTCATTCCGTCTATCTCTTTCGTTTGAGTATTAGCGACTACTTTGTCTTTAGTTTAAGTTATTTCGTATTAATAGCATTAATTCGTAATAATTAGAATATTAAGATAATATTAGTTTTAAGCTGAAGAACGAAGACAACCGACGAGGGAACTTAATTTTTTATAGGTTTAGGCTCAAGAAAGAAGTCATCCGCCGAGGGATTTTAGTACCGATAGTATTAGATAGTTAAGATTTAAGTTATTTATAAGGTTTATTGTGAAAGGTGGGAAGATGTAGAACTTGTGATTCCATCTACCTGCCTTGGGCCTCCACTCGCAGCAACCTCCTCATGGTGAGGCCTGGGCAATTGGTATTATCATCGGTAATGTACTCTGTAAACTGAAGACAATATCGAGCTAATGGCTGCGAACTTCGAATCTCTCATAAAAGCACGTTCTATATTACATCGAACTAGGATTATTTTAGAAATCGAAATGAAATTCAAAGTGTAAAAATGTCTAGTACTTTGAATGTTTTAGAAAATTATTCAAGATAAACATACATGGAACTATTGAAAATTACTTTAGATTCCTTTTCCTTATTCTGTAAATTCTTTGATTGGAATATGAATGCTGCTGGAAGTATGAACATTTTCACAGGACAATGATATAAATGGAACTTTAAAACTTTTTTAAGTGTTACAGTGATATTTCGTTACATGTTCCATAATGTCAATAATATTGATTTCCCCGCAACATCCATAATTATTACAAATGTCAATATAACGAAATATCTTTTATGCGATGTTTGTTGTGTAATAAAAATCTGTGTTTCGATTACGTTTTTGATACGTATTACTCACTTATATGTAATAATATAGAATAAAAATATACTGTTAGTCCGATATTTGAAAATATACATGCGTTCGTTGTCACTGTTAAACTGTTGTAATAACAATGGAATAATAAAATAATTTACTCAAATGTACATAATAATACATATACATATTCATAAAAACAATATTAAACGCAATAACTTTTTTGTACGCGAAAAAAAACCAATAGGTCCGTCGGGACTGGAACCTAAGACTCCTTTCTAATACGTCTATTTTACAGTGAACGGACGGAAGAGAATCCGTTCACGACCATGGTCCCTTCTTAGATTTAACGTAGTTCACAAATTCACCGTTCTCATAACGTAGAGGGCAGCAGAAAATCCCTGACTTTTTATACTATCGGTATTTCAGAACATGAGACACGAAGTCCCATAAGATGATAGGTCTATTCTATACCTAGTCGGTGCCCAGACTATATTAATTTGTGATTATCACTTCGTAATTCGTGGTACCGAGCATGCGTAGAAATGCAACCAATCAAATTTAGGCACACTTGGTACCTCCCTGCCCCTGAAAAGGCTTCACTACCCTCGCCAAAAATGGGGGTTTATGCTTCGTCCCTATATTCCTATGGCCATGGCCCAGACCTACTCTGATCACTCTTTCTCCCAGGTAGCACATACGCCTTGGACTTAAAATAGGCGTCTTTAAGGCGTCATGTGCTATCTGGACTTGATATCCAAATACTTAAAAATAACAAAAATAGTGCATTTCTTTACAACCAATAACATCACTCATTAATAAAAAGGAAATATATAATCAGTATTTCGCTTTGAATACATGTTTTTATTCATAAACAGGCTCTAACCAATTCAGAATCCGTATTTCGCTTTGAATAAGTGATTCCTTTTTGCAAGCACATTTGAATTATCTCGCAAAAATGACCGCCATCACGTGCATCTCCTTACAAGCAGTGACACCACTGATTGGACGAATTTGGTATGGAAGTCAATATGGCGTTAAAATAACCTGTAAAGTGCGCAAAAAATGCTTGGTTTTATATACGCATAACTTTTGAACCGCTGGATTCCTAAACTTAAAACTTGCATTTTCAGATTCTACTCATTGAATATTATCAGGAGGTAAAAAAAAGTCTATAATTTTTGGTTCGGGAAAATAAAGTTTAACCGCCAATCAAAATTCATAAATTTTTGTTGCGGCTGCTGATTTTGCGTTATGAATTCCGCGGAAAAATTAGAATTTCAGATGTAAATGATCACTCATTTCTTCCTCGACAATTAAGCACAGCGTTCTAATAAATTATATAAAAAGAAAGAACTCAAGAAAGCATAAATTTATAACTATTTTGAGATGTCAACAATAAAAATTATTTAAGCTGTCTTAGAATTACTGTAATCATTGCAACATCCGTGGGCTGAAATGGCAAGTAATTGCAACAAAAGGAAAAGGACTTCACTCTCAATAGAACAGAAGATTCAGATTTCTAGGCTGTTGGAAAGAGGGGTTAGTACCAGTAATCTTGCTGCTGAATATGATGTAAATCCTGCAACTGTGCGACGAATTCGACAAAAAAGTGCAACAATTGAGAATCATATTATCAATGGAGAGTGTAACATTTATAAGAAAAAGAAATTGCGGAAACCAGTAAATGAAGATTTGGACAGCAGGTTGCATGCATGGTTCATACAATGTAGGGCACTGGGAAACCCTGTATCAGATTTGGTGCTACGGCAGAAGGCACTAGCAATGAATTTTGAACTTGGAGGATCATCAACATTTAAGGCAAGTAATGGCTGGTTATATAGTTTTAAAGATCGCCATGGTATTCGGATATTGCAAAGTTTTGAAGGTAAAGAAAGCATAGATAAAGCAACTGGGGAAAGACTAGTTATAAAGCAAAAAGAATTAACAATAAATCCTTTTGGAGAACAACAAGAAATGAGACATGGACAAGAAACAGTGGAAGGAGAAGAAGGAGAAAGAAAAAAAGAAGAATTAAAAGACATAAAACAAGAAGGAGTAGTAATGAAAGATGAATTAGAAAAAGTAAAGCAAAGAGCAGTAGTAGTGAAAGAAGAACCAGAAGACACAGACCGAAGTGAAACAACAATGCAAGAAGTACAACAAGTACAAGTTGAAACTGCAATAAAAGAGCAGAGTAAACAATTATGCGATGAAAAAAAAGGTAACAAGAAAGTGAGGGAAGTGATGCAAGCATTTGACATATTGAAGAAACATGTTGAACCAATGCCAAGCTTTATTAAAAAAATGCTGGCAACATTCAGAGAAGTTTTCCTTGAACAAATGGAACAAGAGGATGAATGAAGAAAAAATAGAAGGAAGAGGTGAAACTCAACCTAATTCAGATGAATTATTCATGTGATTCCATACAGGATACAGTGGGTAAATTAATTATTTCCCTGATGTAACAGCTTTATTTAGTTGATACATATCTATTTTTTTTATACAACTTTATTTATTTAATACAATTTTACAGAATTTATGAGAACCATGAAGTTGAGTGATACTTTTCTGTAATCAACGTATTGCCGAAGACAATGGTAAAAAATGGTCGAAGTTGAAATTCTACATATCTTTTATAAAAACCATTTTATTAAATTGAATGTATGTATTTAACTTCAAATCTAGAATTTTTCATTGAGTTTATAGTTTTTTCTTATCTTACAGTTACTAATTGTTTAAGAAACAACAAGAAGATGCAATCATTGGGGGTCCTACTTACATTAGTTAAAATTGTATGTTACAAGAAGCTAATTGTAAATTGCAGATGAAATAATTTATCTGTGGCACTGTGATTTTGTAACTATTGAGAATAACAAGACTGATATAATGGGTAGTGGTTATGAAATATGGATCTTTAGAGATTCAGTTAGACAGAACCATCTACATGCACCATGCATTGCACTAATGATTATTATAAGTGTTGTTATTTCTATATTAATAATTATTTTAACTATACTTGATATTGTTATTATTATGTCAGTACAATGATCATTACATTTAATTTTGTATTATTATATAATAAAGTATTGTTGTTACATTTTTGTGAATGCTTGTGTATATGAGTGTTGTGTGTGAATAAGAAATCAAGGTATAAAGCAGATGTCATGCATGATTACGATAATGCTGAATATGAGAATTAGTCATCTTTGATTGATTCTATAAACTCTTTCGAATAAAATGATACAAGTTATTATTGCGTTAAAAACATTTAAAAATATTTAATCAACGATCAAAGTGAACATGATACCTGAAACGCATCATTTATCACAGATATTTTTTAATTTATTTTGAAAACTAAATCTGCCAGAGAGACTGAAATTATACCACGTAATAAATACCGTAAACACCCGAACGGGTAGCGCACGCGGACAGGGCAGGACAGGTTAGAGCCTAGAGGCAGTTAGACTCTAACTCACTGATGCCAGAATCGTGGGTAAACCGCGCGAGCGCTTACCCTCTCCATGCCTCCCGTGGGTATTTTACACAAGCATATTCTAGCATGTCCGTGAGCTCTGCCCCCACTACGTCCTACTCGGCGACTCACCACGCAAGCGTTTTCTACCTCTGTCCGTGTGCGCTCTGCTTCGGGTGTTCTCGGTAAAAGCCTACGTCACGCGTTTACGACGCGACAGCCGAGTGGCCCAAGCCAGGTCAAAATCCCGTATCCCAAGCAATCTAAATGCCGAGAGTCGAGAGCAGCATGAATTCTCTAACGCCCTCATGACGAGGGACCCCGTCCATAACCCCGTTCGAATCCCGATGCGACGCTTTTACTTTTTATTCTTAATTATTGTGTAATTTTAATTTGTAATTTGCCAGTAAAATAAAAGGTTCAAAAATATTAATTTAAGAAGCATTTTACAAAAATGGGAGATGTATTTATTACTCTTTAATATTTAAATTTTATATTACACAAATACATATTCTCTTATATATACTATTGACAAATTATTCTTACAATTAGATGTTACCATCATTCTAACTATTGCAGTACATACATATGAAAACATTGGAAGAAAAATCCATCACATTAATATGTTACGTACAGTAAAATGAAAGCTTGGAAGATATTAATTTCAGAAACGCTTCATTGTCATATTCGGTAGTAGTACTATTATTCCAATTGCGGTTTAAACTATGTGCATATGTACTTCTTTTCAGATATAGAAAAGTAAAGGACCGACGCCGAGAGCAGAATGATTTCTCTCACACGCTCGTTCATGATGAAGAGCCTGTTCGTATCCCGATGCGACCGTTTTAGTTTTTATTTTTAATTATTGTATAATTTCACTTTGTAATATGTCAGTAAAATAACAGCTTCGAAGATATTAATTTGAGAAGCATTTTCAAAATTCGATTTTTGTATTAATGATATATTTCGCGTTTCTGAGAACCGTTGCAGTAGGTCCACGCACATGTGATGTTAGTAGTCCTTTACTTTTCTATGTCTGAAAAGAAGTATACACATAGTGTGAACCGCAATTGGAATAATAGTACTACTACCGAATATGACCATGACGCGCGTATATGAGCAGGTACTTAGGGTGAGACGTATCTGACCGCAACGCGGGCAACCCTATCGTAAATGGAGGCAATAACGAGACTGCACGGTGGCTCATTGTAACACATAATTTGGAAATGTCTTTATTACCGGAAAGTAGGACGGTATTGAATTCTTAGAAACCATTTTAACGTAAAGGGACTTTGAATTAGGTGCAATTATACGCGCGCCGAATACATTATTGTCCGATTATTTCAAAAGGGGTTGTTAGGAATTTCCCAGATTTTGAAAGAAGCATTTTAGCCGCCCAAAGAAATTAATATACCGTGAGTAAAGAAAGTCCATATTGAGGACGGAACACTTGTGACATTATTTACAGGACAAAAAGAAAAGACGATGTGTTGTATGTACATGCATATTATCCATGCTCACCGACATCAAATCAACAAAATGCATATGCGTGGACCAGCTTAACAAAAAAATCTGATTTTGAAAATGCTTCTCAAATTAATATCTTCCAAGCTTTCATTTTACTGTACGTAACATATTAATGTGATGGATTTTTCTTCCAATGTTTTCATATGTATGTACTGTAATACTTAGAATGAAGGTAACATCTAATTGTACGAATAATTTGTGTATACATAAGAGAATATGTATTTGTGTAATATAAAATTTAAATATTGAAGAGGAATAAATACATCTCCCATTTTTTTAAAATGCTTCTTGAATCAATATCTTCGAAGTTTTTATTTTACTGACATATTACAAAATGAAATTATGCAATAATTAAAAATAAAAAGTAAAACCGTCGCATCGGGATTCGAACGGGGTTTCGGACGGGGTTTCGGACGGGGTCTTCATCATGAACGCGTGAGAGAAATCATGCAGCTCTCCGCGTTTAGGACGTAAATTTTAGGTTGCTTGGGATTTGGGATTTTTGACCTGGCTTGGGCCACTCGGCCGTCGCGTCGTAAACGCGTGACGTAGGCTTTTGCCGAGAACACCCGAAGCAGAGCACACACGGACAGAGGTAGAAAACGCTTGTGTTGGTGAGTCGCCGAGTAGGACGTAGTGGGGGCAGAGCTCACGGACAAGCTAGAATATGCTTGTGTAAAATACCCACGGGAGGCATGGAGAGGGTAAGCGCTCGCGCGGTTTACCCACGATTCTGGCATCACTGCTCTAACTTGCTCTAACTGTTAGAGGTATGCTATGTGTCAAAACGGTGGAAGTAAAGTGGGAGACGCCGGTAGGTCATAGTGGGGAAACCAAGTTCCACGATTCTGGTATCACTGAACACGGTTTCCGTTGAGGGAAAAGTGACGTGAGGGAAGGGCTACCACCCCTTGATCACAGAAGCACAGAAGTCACTGAACTTATGCTAGATTTACATGAGAGAACTACATAGAAAAAAATTGAAGAAAGAAAAATCGATTCTCGATTTTCGGGGTAACGAATCGATTCGCAAAACAATCGAATGGCAGAGAATCGATTCAAAAGATCGTTTTTTTAACCGAACGATTATTTTGACAATATCAATTGTTGAACAACATTATGGTTTCATGTAAAGTAAATATAGGAAGTATACATTATAAGTACGTATCTGTTATACACACTTTGATTTATATTTTGTTGGGAGAGTTTGTTTGAAGAGCTTTAAAATATGTTATCTCAGGATAAAATCTATAATATTTTTTAAATGCATTATACATAGATATTTATTCCACTTTACTTTTGATATATTCTGATATGTGCACATGGACATTGTTGACACACATAGTTTAATAAATAACTTTGATTCTTTTTACAGAGTTCTGTAATTAATTTGTAAATTCTTAAATGTCTGAATCTATGGACAGTTCTAAGGTATCTGAAAATAGTAGCACTTCCTTAAATTCTCAACCAGTTACTAAAGGAAAAAAGCCATCATGTATAATTGTTCTTGGAATGGCTGGTTCTGGAAAAACTACATTTGTAAAGCGACTTGTTTCAGTATTACATAGTGTAGGAAAACCATATGTTATAAATTTAGATCCTGCATGCAGAGAGGTTCCTTATCCTGCTAATATAGGTATTTATAATACAAATATGTAAATTATATAATATTTCAACTGTATCTATGAGTGAATTTCATTAAGTACATGATGTTTTAGATATAAGAGATACTGTTAATTACAAGGAAGTGATGAAACAATATAGTTTAGGTCCCAACGGTGCTATAGTTACTGCTATGAATTTATTTTCTACAAAATTCGATCAGGTTATAGAACTAATTGACAAAGCAAGTACAGAACATGAGTATGTAATTTTGGATACTCCTGGACAAATAGAAGTATTTACATGGTCCGCAAGTGGGACAATTATAACAGAAGCTTTAGCATCACAATTCCCAACAATTATAGTCTATGTACTAGATACTGTGAGAAGTGTTAATCCTGTAACATTTATGTCGAACATGCTGTATGCATGTTCTATACTGTACAAAACTAAATTACCATTTATCGTTGCCATGAATAAGGTAATTGTAAAATACATAATTATCTAATATATTAAATTCTATGTTATAAGTAATGTAATAATATGTTTTAAGATTGACATTGTGGAACATAGTTATGCAGTAGACTGGATGCATGACTTTGAAGCATTTCAAGAAGCTTTGGATGCAGAAACAAGCTATATTAGTAATTTAACACGTAGTATGGCTCTGACACTTGATGAATTTTATAGCCATTTACGTAGTTGTGGTGTTTCAGCTGCCACAGGTTCTGGTATTACTAAATTTTTAGAACTTGTTAATGATGCTGTTGGAGAATATGAAAGGTAAATTAGTAAAAAATTGTATATATGTACATATAAAAGAGTGCAAAATATAAAGAAGAAATTAACCTTTCAAAGGGAATATAAAAAAGATTGGGAACAAATGAAGATTAAACAAGACGCTCAAAGACGACAGACAGAAAAGGAACAACTGGACAAAGCAGCGCAGAATATTACAGGGGAAAGTTCATCTTTTGTAACAACAATCAGCAGTGGCAGAGAAATATCAGATATATACTTAAAGCATGCAGGGAATGAATCAAGTGAAGATGAAGAAGGTACAGAAAACCCATTCAAAGAAGAAGAGGACGAAGATGAAAAGGAAGAAGCAGAGTCGTTTAAGAACTTTTTGGACAGGCATAAAATGGAACAAAATAAACGTACATCTGCTCAACCTGCTACAAGTAGAGATACGTAAAAATAATTTTTTGTACTTACAAATAAATTTTTTTACTAACAGTTTAATTGTATGTTTAATGTAATAAATGTATTATATTTTATAGACAAGTTCATAGTTACAGTCTATGTAAGTAATAAATTACTGTTCTATGGGTAGTTTAACATTATTGGTGGATAGTACTGTAAATGTAAGAATTTCTTACATAAATTTGATCAGTATCTTTCATGAGATTCGTTTACGTTATGTACACACCAGGCGTAAGTTGTATGTCCATTTGTGTTGTCCTTTTCCGAAGTAATTGGTACCGGATTTCTTGTAATCCATTCTACCTTGACCTCGTGATTTCGGGTAGGGTATAAGTCAAAGCCAATTACTGAAATTATTGTATTTTATATTACTTTTAATGAAAGTTTTTAAGCCTTTCACAAATTTGTAATGAAATTATGCTTGTGATTGAAATTTAAATTTGATAGATAATTTAATACGGCCATTACTTTTTATATAGATAATTCAAGCTTAAATTCTGCTTTATTTTTTTTCTGAATACGCGTACTGATTAACAATTAACAAGGTCATTTTCTCAACTTATTGGTTTCGTAAAGTACATCATGCTGCTGATCAGATTATATTTACAATAAAAAGTAACATATTTCCGCAAATGTGTATGAAATATAAATTCGCATGCAACAGTTCTTTTGTTTTACTACAAACAGGTAGGTGAGTAGCCTATAAATAGGTCAATATTATTCAGTAAACAATAAAATTTAATAGACATTATTATTATGAAAGATCAAGTTAAGTTGTTTCATTTTAAATAGAAGAGACGAAAAGGTTCTTGTCTTTCATATGAAAAAAGTTTTTGTAGTATCTCGAATGGTTCGCGGGAGTTTGTAACGGTCAGCCATTTATTCCCCGATAAGTTGAATATTTCGAAGATATTAAAGATAGGGGTATAATTTTGTTTCTTGTAGACAGAGCAAAGTATTTCAATTGGAACAAGCAACAGTTCGACCTGCATTTCTAGCGAAAACGTGAAATGTACGTTTCCTCGTTAACTAATTTAATTAAATTTTAATTATAAACATTTTGTTATAATTATCTTCGCGATATCGTGCACGTTAAATAATAGTACCTTTTTCGTGGGAGTTCGTTGAGCCGTTCAAAGAATCTTTATTTCTGGTTGCATGTTTGTGTGTTCGTTGATATTCTCGCGTTATTTGTTCCAGGGCCTTTGTTAACGCCAACTGAACAATGCAAAAGAAAGATAAGAAAATTGCACGTTCCACGAGCAAAAGCAAATGGCACGACTACTCAGCAATTATTTGCTACTTTGACTAGGTATTAGTAACAATTGAAATGGCGCTGAAATAAAAAAGTATTTTTTATTAAAACAGAATTTTGATTAATTCAATTTAATAGATGGCGTACTTACAAATATATAAACGTTAAATTTTCTAATAAAAATGAAAGATTAGTCGTGAAGAAAGTTATGTTTGAATAATACGGAACACTCGCATACGTACAAAAAATCTGTGAGCAATTCGTACAGTAACAGTGCATAAGAATTTAGATTATTATTATTCATATTAAACTATTATACTTTATTGCAGATAATTATTTACAAATGGGTACTCCGCACCGATTTCGATAACCTTGAAATATGTTGTCAAGGTCATTATTCTGAACAATTTTTCCCTATACATGCTACCATAAGATTTAGTTAAATTAACTTGATTACCATTTGATGTATTTAACATTACTCTTTAGATTGATGGTTATATTTATAGATGTATATAGTTATTTTTTATATCGATCTACATAGTCATATGTTTTCTATTGAGAAATTAAAAAAAATTTTGTCGGTAATGCTAGTTTATGCGGTAACGGTATATCTACCAAATGTGGTACGTCAATTAGTCGATTAGAACTTGTGACATCACGTCAGCCATTTTAAAAAATACCATCTGTTCCTTGTGTCAATTTGACACAGATTTCTCCTAAGAAATGACGTTATTCTTTCATGTGTAGATAAATTTGGCGGACGCTTCGTGACTTTTACTTTAAAAAATTTGCAAATGTAACTATTTATAATTTCATTATATTCATTTTTATCACTAGGTCAATTTGACACCGAGTAAACGTCGTTAATTTTACGAATTCGGGCAAATCCTTCTGTGGACGTAATACTTTCAAATACCTGTATACTATCAGAAAATACAACAAAAAATCGATTTTTTGAAAGATCTAAACTAGAATACCCCCTTAATACGCGTATTTCTGCCTGACAATAAGTCATAGACCACAAGCCTCGCTCGTTATGCCGGCAGACTAGTTCAGGGGACAGGTCATACAGTGTAATCGAGTTTATTCAATTGGCAAAGAAAAAAATGAAAGTGTATTCCAAAACGTATTACCCGGCAGGCGTGCAAACGTGACACGTGATCAGAGTCCTTGCTCGGCAGCTCCGATTCCGAGGTACTCTTCAAAGTTATACGGTGACAATGCCGTAATTTCCCAGGGGTCTTCCGGTACACCTTGGACAACAGATCCGGTCGGCCGGTACGGAAGTTCTCGTGCAAGAATTCATGTACGTCCGGGTTGTGGGAATTGCAGATTGGGTCTCGATTGTGGGACGTCACCTTTCGGAAGCCGTACAAATTCAGCTGTCTGATGAAGCTCGTGATATTCTTCGTTTTGAAAATGGACGTGCCCGCGTCAAGGTATTGTTCCTGGAACATTTTGTAGTCGAGGAGAATGGTGGTGCCGGTCAGGCTCCACCGGATGGCGCCGCTCTCGCATTCGTTCACGATCCGCCAAAGCTTCTGCGGGAATCGCAACGACAGAAATATGCAGTCCTCGTACATGTTTTCGATTTCGGAAACGGTGCGTTCCGATCGCACCGATGCGATGGAACGCCGATCAAAACTAAACACTGCGATTCCCGTCGTTTTCTCGAATCCGTTCGCGTATCTTTTGCAAACAAAAAACTATCGTATCACGGCAACAATATTTCTCGTTCTGGAATCTTCGGAACACGGAATTTATTTATTTTTAACCTTCTTCGCGTGTTAATTCTTCGGTGTTTCGCAGTGGAATCGATTTTCACGATATTTCGCGCGTTTTCCGTTAAAATCGTCACCTTATTTTTTGCAAATTTTAGCCGAGCAAGTTAATCGTTCGGCGTTTTGCAGTTGAACCGTTTTCCACGAGATTTCGCGCGCTTTCCGTTAAAATCGTCACCTTTTTTTGCAAATTTTGACCGAGCTTAACGGAATGAAGTTGGGAGGGGGGGGATGGGAATAGTTTCGCCACTCACTCGCTACATACTTACATATATGTACCTTTAGTCGTTAATAAATTTAAAAAAACGAGTACGTTTTTAAGAAATAAATTTACCCGAGGAGTTATTGATTCACAGAAAATTCCAGAAAGGTGATAATTTTAATGACAAATGTGCTTTGTGGCATACAATTAAAACGCTCGATTTAATACAATGATTTATGTAGTAAAATCAAGAATATTCGTAAAGGATATTAAAAATATTTTGTATTTAGGTCACTGTACACGACTCAACGTGTTATTTTTAAATTACAACGGAAATACAATCGAGTACGATGAAAGAAAATGAAGTTCGACTGACTATTAACTATATACGCAATTTTCATATACAATTCGCTACTCGGTAATAATTATTTTCTAATTAATAATAAATTATTCCATATATGTTACAGATTCTGAATGAGTATAAAGTATTAATACTATTTCCTGGACAATGAAAGTTCGTCGCAACGAACTTACACAATTTCCCTGATATCATACGTGTTTTGAATATCTTATGATTATATTATCGTTATCGTTGTAACGACATTTATGTTTATACCGATTGGTGCAGAATCGAATGTGTGATTTTATACATATTATTTTCATTAGAATTTGTTGTAAGACAAAAATGGTACTATTAAAATTTGACATTATTTCATTGGAAAATAGCGCGATACAAAAGTTTTTATTGCTGCTTTTACGTATTTCAGAGTACTCCGTAAATATTAAACCAGCATTGTTTCGGAGTGACTGAAGATCGAGAAAAACACTTATGCTAATTTGAAGTACTGTAACATTACAGTTTCATTAGTTCAAACAGTTGTTCTAATACTTGCGAACATCGGTGTATACATGGAATTGTTGAACAGAAACAAATTTCATTTCATATAAAAATTGCAAATAGGAGCACAAATAAAATAAAAAATAAATCGTGCTGTCCTCATTACATTGTATTATTTTTATCTTTAACAACTTTCGATAAAATCAACACTTCCAACACTCATCTATATTTAACAGTTCTGACTGTCAGTCTATATTTTATTATTTACATGGTTGTTTATTTAAACAAGTACCCTGCAACAATATAGATGTTCGATAATTCGTTTGGCTGTTTTGTTCTATAGTACACACTAGATTTGATTTCATTGTGTGACATTAAATATTAACCGATTTGTTGCTAGAGTTAAAAACAAGTCAATTAAAAAAAAAGAGATTCGATCATCCCCCGTTCGGTAAACATTTAAGAATATATACATAAATATTTATAAAGACGTCAGTCTTCTAACGTGGACTCCACAAAGACAAATAAAATGCTCTATCATTCTTTTTACACTTGTCTCATAAAACTGCATCTGGTTATTTCCATATTTTTACATACTTCTCTATGTATACTGTAAAGTATGCGTACAGATTAATTTATCATTAAAATAAACGTACTAATTGAGATGTTACAAAATGGTTTTCCGGTGCCATAGTTTGCGTAAGTCTCTCCTTAAATTTCAACAATGTTATACAATTTAGTGTAACTACCATCACTATGTAATCGGTTTTGTAGTTTTGAGATTTTCGTCATAAATTGGATCTTCAATTCGTACGTTGTGAGTGGAACATTGAGTATAGTCCTCGCTAATTGTACAATATAGCGTGGTTGCTACGCCGTACTAAGAGGGGTGGGTGCCTCGAACTAAGCCTTACGTTTATGTCAAAAAATAATTCAGTGAAATTTTATCACTACTTTCTCTTTTTAGGAAATTAGAAATTGCATTAAATGTAAAAATAAATCTGATCGAAGTTGTTAAAATATAACGAAGCATTGTTCGTTATAATCAAGCGTTCGTTACGGTTCAATGTTATTTAATTTTATTTAGAATAAATTTCAATTTTTTTAAATTTATCTACTTTACTATATGTTTCATTACAAAAACGGTTGCCCCCCCGCTTTCAACCAAGGAAGCCCTCGAAGGTTTGATAGCCCTGGGCGACGAAAAAGCTTAATCCAGGCTTGCATGGTTGTAAATTAACGTGTTGAGCGGCAATACTGATTGGTGCCGTCGCACTTAGGGCCGTATGCGCTTTGCAGCTGTAGGGTTCCGTATAATAAAACGGGAAAGACTGTCCGCTAACTGTAGTTCATTTGAAGAACTTTAGCTTTTCGTAGGTTATTGTCAATAATTAAAAAAGTCAGAAATATTTTGAATGTTGCATGAATTGACATTGCATGGCACTGAACATCGTTCAAGCTCCATAGTTTCCCTTTCATCTCTTAAATAGCTGTTCCAATGAGCAAAACATGTTTATATAGTATACAGTGTGTAACAAAAATGTTGGAGAACCCTGAAATGGGAGACTCGCGAGGTGATTTGAAACAAGTTTTTCCTTAACAAAAATGTTATCCGAGGCTTCGTTAACGAGATATTAACGAAAAACCCCGACCAATCAGAGTGCAAATCTACCAGTTGAGCATCTGCGGTAATGTTGTCTACCAATCGCAGTGCTAGCCGATCCTATCGCGGATGCTCGGCCGGTAGACTTGCGTTCTGATTGGTCAGGGTTTTTCGTTAATATCTCGTTAACGAAGCCTCGGATTACATTTTTGCTAAGGAAAAACTTGTTTTAAATCACCTCACCAGTCTCCCATTTCATGGTTCTCCAACATTTTTATTTCACTCTGTGTATACCTTTGCGCCCGAGTGATTTAACTATCATTGTTCGATTCGCAGTAAATGTTTTAATCAGATAAGGCCGGTAGTGTTTGCAAATATTCGTGTCGTTTCGCCAGTGCTGGCAATAAGTAACCGTCAGGATCCAGTACGTCTGGTGTTCGAATAGTAACTGGTCCTTGGGGTGGCCTTGGCAAGGTGCCTTGGATAGATTTACCTTGCGCTTTTTCGAGCTTTTCTAATATTTCCGGGAACTTGATTCTGTCCTTAGGTTCCGTTTTCCAGCACTCTTTCATTAACTGACAGATGAATGGTGGGCATCCTTCTGGCGGAATAAGCATTATGCCTTGGAATATCAATGTCACTACCTGAAACAACGTTTCAGAGAAAGTTTTAACGTATGTGGAATATACACCCACGAGCAAACTCGGCTTCCACTAGGGGAAAAGCGGCGTAGAATAAAAGTCTCCTACTACTTGGTAAATTTATTCCAGATACTGAAATTAATGTTAAATCGAATGTTAATTTGCCATAAATTTCAGTAATTCCAAATACCAAGAGGAAGGAGTATGGTAGGAGGCCCTTCACCTACGTCACTTTTTCCCCTAGCGGAAGCCGAGTTTGCTCGTGGGTGTACGTATGCTCGTTTGACGATGTTACTCAAAAATATGGTCGCCTTAAAAAGAATGACAAAAACAACGAAATGAAATGAATCAACAGTAGAATCAACATTGTATCAGGAATAGGTACTGATAAACTGGGATAAATATTGCTATGTACATTATTTGAAGTATCAATGTGTCTAGTCTCAGTATCAGTATCTAAATTTTTGTAAGTTTCAAGGTTCATTGTCAGTGGATGAATGATAATGTATAGAAATGTGAAAAATATTAGAGTCATGTTACAGAGAGATAGGTAACGAGAGTGTTTTACAAAACGACATTCCACTTGCATTTTGTTAGCATTTTTCGACCGAGAAGTCTATTCTCTTACCAATTTCCGTTTAAATAATAATTTTAAGGAAGTATTTCATTATTTTATTTAACTTTTCTTAATGGATAACGATTGTAATTTGTTATGGGGATTAAAAAATGTAATAAAACGTTTTTATAAAAATATAATAATAGCTTGTCAAAAAATTCTCGGTAGGTAAAGTACTAACATACATATATGTATTTAGCTTGCAGCCTACATTTCTTTGTTCTTAATTAATGTAATTTGACATGCATTTAATTGGTCTTCCACAGTTCATTGTAATGCTTTTTCAGAGTTCTGCTTTCGTTTCGTTTGTCATTTTTTTCAGTTTCCTATTACACAATAATTAGGCTTACAAATATTAGGCTTACCAAATTTTCCGTTCGATTTATGTCTAGATTATTTTCGAGATACGAAAACCGTTTTACATGTTTTTCATTTAAAAATTCGTATACTGACAGGCCTTGTTGAATAGAGAAACACATTTCGTCGTTAAACTTTCCACTAAATTTTCAAACGATGAATTGTTAAATAAAAATGGTACTTTTTATTTCATATTTAAATTATGATGTACCCATTAAGAATAGTAGAACAATCAAGTACGTCCGAGGAAAGACACAAGTTTTATGAAGTCAGTAACCAAGAATGAAAGGAAAATTTCTATTATACTCACTTCTTCATTACTATGTCCGTAATACGGCTGCTTGCCCAACGAATAGACTTCCCATAAAACAACTCCGAAACTCCAGACATCGCTTTCTAGAGTGAAACGTCCGTACATCACACTTTCAGGTGACATCCAACGGACTGGTAAAAGTCGAGATCCTCCTATCTGCATCGAAAGTGAACTAAGCATTATTCATTACACTAACTTGTTTATTTTATAAATTACGCTGCTCAAAAGAATTAGGGGTCGCTAATGTGGGCGGCCCTGTTGCACCCACCAAGCGAAAGAAACAGAAGAAGTGTATGATCTTTTCCGTAGAATACACTATTGACACCTATGTGTATAGTTATTATTTGTATAAAAAACGTTTCGGAAATTATACGTCGTATTGACGAATAGAGCGGCTGCAATACACGATTTTCCAATTGTTTCGAGCAGTTATGGTCAGGGCCGTCCTGGATTGTTGGTCTCCCGGGTGCAAAAACAATATTCCAGCCTTTATGAATTTAATATTATTTAATTAAGAATTTGATATGCAGTCTTTACTTTTATGTCTATATAGTTTTTTAACATTTGTTATTCAAAAGGAATATTTCTTAATTCTTGTTTTCATAAACTAAAACCAAGGTCCTTAAAAATTGTTTTATTTAAAATAAATATTTTATTCCATATATATGAACAAAACTAACGTGTATTGTTTGTGATAATGATGTTATGGTTGATAAGTAGGGAACATTAATTACCTACATGAATTTAATCCAAAAAAGATGGCTAAATATCTTATGCTTTTGTGGGCTGTCCATAAAGATAGTTCATTCTTCTATACGAATAGTGTTACCAAAATTACATATAAAATTAACTTGATTGAATTCTATATGTCAAAAATTTTCATAATCATAAAAAAAGTCTTGATTATTATTTTTACTAGCCAAAATTTTACACATAATGAACGATCCTTTTGCACTCCGGCCAAGAACAGCCCTGGTTATAGTATCTTATTTTTAGAAAAATGGTTGTACTATATTACCTTGTAATAATCACAGGTGTATACGTCTCGCGACATGCCGAAATCTGCAATTTTTACGACCAAGTCAAAGCCAACCAGACAATTTCTGCAGGCTAGATCCCTGTGGACGAATCTTTGACCCGATAAATACGTCATGCCAGCTGCAATTTGGATAGCGATCCAATGCAGAGATTTCTGAAATATATAAATACAATTGACGAGTCTGTCTATTCAGCATGGTGTTTTTTTTTCTAATGATTATATTATTAGAGGTGTAATTTGAAACTATTTGAATATTGTTTTATTGTTGTATTCGATATTAATTTGATTAATAAACATGCGCCAACCTATTGATAATTTTTTTGAAAAGGTATAATACGAAGATTACAATCTGCTGGAGTTACATTAGCTGTTGCTAATTTCTAAGCCATACAATTTCTTTTTTTAATTTATGAACCACAATTTAATTTAGTATACATTCAACACTGACAGTTCTGGTGTTAATTAATTTGTCACTGCTTTTTTGCAGTGACGATAACGTATCTTTCATTAAGGGGTCTCCCTAGTGTGACGGGTCAAAAAAATCGATTTTTTTTTTTTGCTTTTTCTTAAAGTTCAATAACTTAAGAACATATTCCTAAAGCATTACGGCTGAATTTGAAAAATTGGCAACGCTATGAGCTATGAAATGTAGTGGCGCGACCGGGCGCGCAGGTATACAGTCGGAGCGCTCGACGCTTGCAGCGAAGGCCGATTCTTTTGTAATGTAAAATCGTTACTCCCAGAGTTTTCTACGACTCGGCTACCTCAATCATCCCCTTCTGTGCTAAAAGGACCCCTCCAAGCGTCTAATTGTAGTATATTTGAATTACGGGAAATATAAACAAAGGTGAATGATTCAGTTCGTCGTAGACCTTCGGGCAGAACAGAAGTGACCGAAGGGACAGAAAATGGCTAAGAAAAGTGACAAGCAACATTTAAAAGCCACTGGAAATAGAACCAGGAAAAGAAAATTTGGCGGAAATCGTTACACTGCAGAGCAGGGCGTAAGTTTCGCCAGCACATCTGGTAAAAAATTACTGGAAAGTGAAGACGTGATCTTGTACAGCAAGTTATCAAACCCATTTATACTGATTTATCTCAAGACAATTTATTAGAACGATGTTTAGGTGGAAACACACAGAATAATGAGAGTTTTAACGGCCTACTTTGGCACTTTGCTCCCAAACATATATATTCTGGGGCAAAAACGGTTGAGATAGCATCTTATTTAGCCACTGCAATATATAATGATGGCTATCTGTCAATTTTAAAAATACTCAACACGATGGGCATAGTGATTGGACTAGCAGCCAAAAGTTTTGCGGATACGCAAGACTCCAGGCGAATTTTACTCTGTGAAAAAAGGCACCTCGAGGCGACAAAAGAGGCTCGAATTGCTAGGAGGAAGGCAAATGCAGCAATACAGGAATTTTATGAGGAAGAGGAAGGTGTCCTGTATGCACCTGGCATAGGTGATTAATCGTAAGTATAATTTATTACCTGTTAAACAGTATCTGAACTTTTAAACGCGTTTTTCTCGAAACGACTTTTTTCGACCTGGCGAACATGATATCTCAAAAACTACTGAACCAAATGACTTGAGGCTTAACATATATATTCAGTACATGTCCTGTTATAGCGGGAACTAGAATAAAGTCCTTATTCGCAAAATTCGAATTTTGCGGCTGAAAAAGTTAACAAATTTTTTGCCGAAAAGTGAAATTTTTTTTTAAAGTTTTGCCATTTTTGTATTTTTTGTCGATTTTCTTTTGTTCTAGTTCCGGCTATAGCCACACTTATACAGATTAAGTATCTTCTTGCCTTTTCTGTTTCAGATGGCTACAACAGCGGCAATCATGTTCGCCAGCAACACGTGTTTTTTTTTCGAGGTCGTTTTATAACCACGATAACTATAAATATAATAATTATTATTGCTTACAAAAATTTAAATACATGCTTCAAATGTCAATGAATAAATGCTCAAAACTTGGAACTGTAACACGAAGTATTTTTCTTTTAAAAAATTCTCAAAGATTGCCTTATTTCTAGCGCGTCACACTAGGGAGACCCCTTAAAGTATTGCATGCGCATGGAAATGCTTCTACAAACATTTACGACAGTGGCATTTGCAACGGTTAAGACATTTCCGGGCATAGCGTGACAGAAACACGCAAGTAAATAAAGATAGGCGAGATTAAAGTCAAACAAGATTTAAAGGAAATTTACCTGGGTCAAAGGTTGTAATCCGGGTTTCGACGATCTGAGCTGAGGGGAGTTTGATCGCAAAACATCAGCAAGGTCCCCATAAGGCATGTATTCGAAAACCATCCACGGGCTATCGTTGACATCACGAAGAACCACTCCTTTCAGCGACAAAATGTTTCGGTGTCCAAACGTGGACATGATGTCGACTTCTCGCATAAAGTCCTCCTCGATTTCGCGAGACGCGGAGTCTTTCAAAACCTTTATTGCAACTATTTCTTTCGTGTCTCCAGTGCATAATTCTCCTGTAAAGGAAATATTTTTTAATGATTGAACGTAAAGTGATAATTATTTCGAATTGACGTACACTTTATCAATCTAGTGTTTCGATAAATGTTCAACTTCTTTAATGTACTCATTACGAAATTAAAGTTACTCATTCCGAAAATATTTTATTCAGCAGGGCGGCCAAACTCACTATATGTATGTAAAACATGGACTAGTCAGAATAATAATCAAAAGTAATCTGTCGATTATGCAAATTTTTAAAAATACTCGTATACAAAAGGAACTATCTTTATGGACAGCCCAAAATAGCATATGACATTTAGCCATATTTATTTTCATAAAATGAAACAAAGATCCTTGAAAAATGAATGGTTTTATTTAAAATGAATATTGTATTATATATATATACACATATATAAGTAAATACTGCATATCAAATTCTTAATTGAATAATATTCAATTAAAAACAATTGTATTAAAACAAAACCTAAATTTTAAGTACTCAGTTGCGTGAATTACCGAGTGTACCAAAGTGTGGAGGCATGTAAAAAAAAAACGTAAGTCTAATTGTTACCTTTATACACTTTTCCAAAACATCCTTCACCGATGTCCTGTACAAATACGAGAGATTCACGCTGCAGAATTGGCACTTCTGGCGAGGAGCAACTGAAATACTGTGGATTAGGTGTGTACTTATTTGCTAACAGCAACCCCCTTTTTAGATTCATCGGTGTCCCCTGAAGAACACACAAAAGCTTCATTTTTTTAACAATGTTTAACAATTAAGGCAAAATTTTGTAAAATAAAATATTCGGTCGGTGCATAAAACAATGTCAGTTTTCATTATTAATATTCCTTATTAATATTAGCAGCCGTTTGTTAGTTTTCGTTTTCTGTAGATCATTTTCTTGAATTTACTGAGGTTGGTCGAAACACTTGTCATTAACGATAAAGTAACCGATCATGGATTTATTAAATGAATTTTTACCTACTCTTTCTAATAAAACATCTTTAGTACATGTTTCATAGATAATTCTGAGTGTTTCTGTAGTTGATTTTTTTATAATCGATTCAGATTAAAATTTCTATTTGAAGTATAGCTGTAATTATTCATGCACCAGCCTAATAACACACAATTTTTAATCGAGTTTAATTAATGTTTCATGCTGACTTTTATTCTACAAAATCGAAGAAGAGACGATCCTCTTTGTATTACATTCTTTATATTCTTTACTTTTAATGTGAATTTTTAAGAAATCATTTATTCTATTTTGTTAAGAAATAGATTAGAAATATATAATATTTAATAAAAATAATTAGTTGGAAAAAGAATAGCGGGTTACTCGTTAGTACATCTATTCCTAGTCTTTTAAAATAATTTGCAATATAAAAATGTGATTCTACACAAAGGTGCGCAGTATAATAACAATGATAGTTTAATTTGGAAAACAAACAATTTTAGTATACAATTATGCAAATTATTAGTCTCATCGAGTTAAACTGTGTATCTTGTACTTTTTCGAAATTAGTGTTAACATAAGTATTTGTGTTAGACATTAGCATTGAATATAAAATTTGTTACGTACATCCAGGGAATTCCTTTGGGATTTGATGTTATAACTCCGTTTCCTGACGCAATACACTATACTCAACAATATTACTAATACCGCGATTAAAGCTATGGCAATTCCTATAATTTCAGGTACCCTTTGTCTTGACCGCTCTACCTGTTGAATAGAACGAAAATAATGCCAATCGTGTATGTATAAAACTATGCATGCAAGGTGTTTTTCAATTAATTATAGATAAAAACTTATTTGGTTAATAGAACTTGTTAAAACAAATAACAAAATTTTAATAAATACATGTAGGTTGGTTTGCCAGACGAACATATCAATTTTTAGATTTTTGATGTTTTACAGCATCATTCAAAATTGAATGATGATACTATTGAAAATGTAAACGAATTTGAACATTATCAAAATTTTAATGACATTCTAAGTTGTTGATTTGATGATCGCTGGAAATATTAATTTTATATGTACGCATATATGAGGTGAATAAATAGTCACGATAGACTTCGCTAAATTCATATTCTTTCATTCCAGTTAGAAGTATGAAGAATTATATTATTCAGAGTTTTAATAATTATAAACGAATACTCTGTCGGTTAGTGCCGAAAAATATCAAATACTTAGAAATTAATTGGCTTTCACGTTCACCGGGTTTTGCAATACATTTCTCCTGCTTGGAGAGCAACATTATTATGGATTGCACAGTTTTAAGATAGGATGTTTTAATAAAATTCATAAAGTACATTAAGGAATGTATAAAATTCTGAAAGATAATTAGAGCAGAACATTTGGGTCATATCATTTTTCACAGTTAATCCCGGTAGACAAATTTATGAATTAACAGTTTGAAATACGTTGCTTGTGTTTTTATCAAATATATCAAATGTTATAAAATATTAACAATTATTGACTATGCGTCAATACCCAACCCTGTATAATGCTAATGAGATTTGTCAATTTACAAACTAAAACTTTATTCTAAAGTATTATTCTAAAAGTTATTAGTTTAACGACCTACAGTTATTAAGAAATCTTTTCTTTTGTTCCTTCTTATATGTAGAGTTCCATTAAGCAGTTAAATTTTTACCTACAGTTTAGCAACCCCCTTTATACACATTTCCTGTTTAAGAATAATATTTGTAGTATTAATTTTAAATAAATACCTGTTCAGCTTCAGGAAAGGCTTTCGTGCTATTGGTCGAGTTACTACCATTTGGGGGTATTATGTTGGGTATAGGTCGCGGAGTAAGTGGGACTGAAAATTAAATGAAAAAAGTTAATATTAATAAATTCTGATCTTGAGATAAAACAAACTGATATTTGTTTGCTCTTAATCACTTGATAATTCCGTTTTTGGTATACTACTACGTTAAAAATTATTTTCTTCCACTTCCGGTGATTCCATATTAATTTAATTTTCTGACAATAGCATAGTCTAATGGATATGATTATGAACTTACAATTGGACCAAGGTATGCAGAAACCTACCAACCCTCAAAGTGACAAAAAAGAATATAAATAAATAAATATGTGTTCTTTGTTTTGCAATAGAACAAGTCTTATGTGTACATATATATATAATTATTAAAACTACTAAGCCATAGAAAATTAAAAACGAAATTAAAATTAACTATAGAAAATTTAAAATATTTTAATTATATGTACCACTTACTATTAAATAAGCCATTAAAAAAAACATTGTAAAACAGGAACAAGGAATAAAATATATCCAATAGAAATAAGCTAGTTTTTTTTAAATTAAAATCTTCGAATTACTTTGTAAATAGTCTTGTATTGAAGACAGTATTAATTAATCGATAGTAACTATCACCGATATATGAATACTTCTTTCTTCCACTGTATGTACGTTTTTTTTCATATGAAAGTCATGAAACACGATACGAGAAATGTTATAAGTCTGACCTATCAAACGATTAGGGCATTTTAAGTCGGCTGTGGGCAGGGATGAATCATGTGGGCAGACACACTTGGACGTGTGGTTCTTGAAGTTACGACAAGCTGCTTCTTTTCCACAAATGTAGGGCCGATCTTTGCATCCTGTGACCTCGGAGCTTCCATTGATAGGCGGTAGCCTCACTATTTCTTCCGATTGTTGAGTGGACGCGTTCAGTGATAATTCTGAAACAATATTTACGTGTTATCGTAACCGTGTCGACTCGTATTCAGAGTGTCCATAAGTATGTAAACAAACATTACTTGATCTGGGACAAAATTCACGCGAATACATTACCACTCATAGGCATAAGGACACCTGATATACTTTACTTTACCAAATATACTTTAGACCATTTTTATTACTTTATAGTAACATAAACATTGCCTATCGAATATTAATATCTCCTAAACAAGATTTATTTCAGATTGTCAGCAGTTTCGTAATGCTTTGTAGCATCTGCTGCATATTCGATAAGTGTTCTAATACTTATGAGCGGGAGTGTACGTGGACTTTGCGGAAAATCAGAATATTATTACCTACATGTGTGTATTTCTATTCAAGGCTGTGGACGACGTAAATTTTACTGACAACGATTCTTGTGCAATCGGAAAGGAAAATTTTGTTTAATGAGGTGTGGTAGGTAGATGTCTACGAGAACTTAACTTACAAGGGGAAGGCACGGTTGTAGAAATCGCTTTTGGAACGGCACTATGTGGAAGTTATAGTACGCATATAGTATTACAAAACCCTCATGGGTTTCTTCAGAATGGGCCTTGGTTTTCGAGATATTTTAGTTTAAAGTTTTCCATGTGTCAAGTAGAATTGTCACGAAGAAAGAATCATGACTACGACGGTAGACTATCTGCTTACCACACTGCGGACCTGGGTTCGAATCCAGCAGACATATACAAACTTTTTGTTTCCTTTTTTTTCCTCTGTTGTCTTCTTTCCTTTTTTTTTTCTTATTTTAGTATTAGATATTATATACTAAATATTATGTACTATCTTACACAAATTTCATGAATGCAATTATAAGAAAATGCAATTTATAAGAGTGCTTTCATGTTTATGTACTTACTGCAAAATTATTTTTCTGGATATACAACAAAATGGATATACAAAAATAACCCATTTTTATTTATTGTCGAACGACAGTTCCCTAATTTGTAACAAATGTAATGTATAAATAACTGTCAACGACTTAATTATACAGTAAATATTTGCCGTTATGACGAAAAAAATAACATAGGCCGCAACTTAAAAGAGAACTTCAACCGTAAAAACAACTACGTCCACTGATCTAATCCCTCGAAGAACTAAAACTGTTTACAAATCTAATATAACTGAACATTGTCATCGCTAATAAGTTATAGACTGCGGATTTTATGCATTTATAGCCTATAGGAGTCTGTAAAATACAATAAAATACAAAACTTTCATTACATACAATCAGTTTTCTAGTTGATTCCGAACCTAATATGATACTTCAGGAAAGAAAGAAATTTCTACATACTCTTCTCTGTATAAATTGCTTTAGAAAATACTATTTTGCATAAAAATCCACAGTCTACTAATAACCTTCGGTAGTTGATGTGACGTAAACGAATAAAAGAGAAGAAAACATCAGTCCAAAATTACTCTAAATACGTGACATGTGGTATTAATGACCCAGATAAAATTGTGAATTTTCAAAGGAGAGCAGAAAGTGAAGGATACCGTTTGAAGTGTGCCGAACTGTAAGATTTGGTTAAGGTAAAGACAGTAAAATTCGCAGGATCGCGGTGGATGGCGCATGAAGGGTGAGTGGGTAAGAAAAAGGGCTACATATTTGGATTGGGCCAAGCTTGGAAGAGACAGTGAAGGCATTCATTTCGTGCTTGAAGCTTGTAACGGGTCAAAGCGTTATCTCTGCGGTCAGCGCTCCCCGACAACGAGTCTCGCTATGTGTACCTATTATCGCCCCGTATTCCCTGCCTTCCTATGCATCTCTACGAGGTTTGCTGTATTCATGAAATCGCTCTTTTTCCACAGATCACACCCGCGCGTTTTGATTTTCTTGAAACAGAACGACCAACTTCCTAGGAAGAGTCGAATCAAGTAGGTTTATAAAAGTAGACCAGGGCTGTTGGGATATCACGATTGGAATCATTTCAAGAGCAACATGGCTACCTCGTAACTTGTTTTGATAACGTTTCGGGTAATTTTCATCGTTTCGAATCATGATTGAATAATAATTCTAATACTATAAATATTAGGTATGCTGATGAGTAAACATTTTAGTTGTACGAATCATTAATCTTTTTAAAATAAACAGCTAACATAGTTTAAATTTGTAACATTTTCCCGCCCTGGTCTTCTTTACAAATGGCGGAAGGTATTCGGGAACTTGATGAAATATTAAAAAGAAAAATGTAAATATTTCAAATACTTGTTATTACACGATTGTCAAGATATTAATAAACAAAGTAGTAATAAATTAAAAAAAAAACGGTATTTTTACTGCTATGGAAAATCTCTTTTCACATAGACTTTTCGTAATGCATCGATTGATCGCACTTCTCTTAATTACCATATTTCGTTTTAAAGCGTATTGAAACGATTTCAGACGAAACAGCTCAACGCAATGATTGTAATTGTAAATAAAGCACGTTATAGTTAACACGTCTGAGTGCCCCAGAAACGATATTTCCACGAACAGGGGTTCGCTTACTGAACTTACTCAATAGACAACAGTGTCTCGTACTCCGAAATTTGCCTACTTACAAAGAGAAGTTTCCTTTCCGCGTAACAAGTTAAGTTTCCACAGATATTATTTTATACATGTATTACCTACATCGTTGATGACCTCTGTCCTTTGTTATTACTCGTGCCACGTCGAAGCTGTTGATGTATGCACAAATGATCCACGATATCGTGCACGCTTTGACGCGAAAGTATAATGGAATTGACAAAGTTTTCTTTTTATAATTATCATTACTTGCGATTTCCAATGAAAACTTGTTCAAGTTACGTGTAATATATATCGATTGCTTATCTTTGCATGAGGTATAGTAGAGTAAACCATAAAAATTTATCAGATTCAATGATTTTCTAGTTTATTCTGAGCTCAATTTGACACTTAAGAAAAAAATGTAATTCCTAGAGTTGATCTTCTGTATATAAATTGCTGTAGAAATATCATTTTGAAATATATAATATAGTTTGGTAGTGGGTAAATCTTCTGATTTGCTTCCCAATAATAAAATTTGAAATACAGTTTCAACAGTAATAATATAATTTTTCTCACAGCTTGAGTAATTTTGGAAATTGCGGAGAACATTCGGCGGAGATAAATGCATTTAGCCAAGTTTATTTGCAAATCCAAGGTTTAGGCCAGAGACTACAATAGAGGCATTATATGCGCGGGTGGTTCGTCTTCCGAAACACACGATTCGCGACTGAATCGTCCATCGTAAAACGAGATCGTTCGTGATATGTTCAGACCACTGACGAGAACAACTTCTTGATTATCGTGTTAGTTCAGATAATAAATCCGCTGTTTTTCAATGCGAGAAAACAAAAACATCTTGAAGAAGTTGCAACCGGTCGGAATCGCGAAGAAAATAGTAAAGTTCGCTTTTTACAACTTTTTAAACTGAAACTGTAATGAAAATTTAGTAAATACATTTCGAAGATTTATGTTAACTAACAGATCAAAATGAGAACATCTCGGATAAAAGAAATTATAAAAAGCGACCTTTACTGTTTTCTTCACGATTCCAACAAGTTGCAACTTTTTCAACATTTCTTTTACGTATCATTTAGGAAAGTAATCTTTCCAACTTCACAAAAAAAAATTCACGTCACTTGTCCAAATTTTAAAAAAGTTGTTCTGTTTTAAAGGGTGTTCGAATACTTTTTTTTACCTATTGTATATCTGCTGCAATGAAGCGATTTGTTAATGGGGACCAAATGTATTAGGTTTCATTGATCAATGTAAACACGTTTGTTTACATTTTTGTTTACGTTCTTGGCTCGTGGTATTCGTGTCGTCAGTTGACTACGAACCACCAAAAGTAGAGCTCCAAAAACAGACTAAGAACACTTCTTTTATTAATTGTGCTTTTTTTTAGTTTTATTAGTTGGTAAAATGTTTTTATTTTTTTTTAAACGTGGCTATAAAAAACTATGAAGATATTAATCGTATTTTTAGTGAAGAAGGGAGTATAATGTTATGTAATAATAACTTAATATTAATAAATTGTATAATATTTATAAAAAAATAGCATTTAAGATACTATAAAACAGTAGCCACTGTACAACATTCTTTGTTCAATTTCATTCACGTAAACACGTCACGTATTTATGTATACTTCTTAATATCTGACTACTAACGTTATAACTAATATTGAGACAAATAATTTAATACTTAAAATAAATCTAAAATTTTGAAAATAATATATTAAATCTAATTTGCGATATTACAAAATATTAAACATTATATGTATAATTAATTTTAAGTTTGTTTACATTACGGTACGGACACTGAAATTGTCTTCTTTATTATTGCTGGAGGACTTGGACACGTGGTTATCATCTTAGGTTAACGTTATCTAGAGGTCGAACATGTCGATATTAAAGATAAGTTAGAAGGCATAAAAACAGGGTTAGTTTTTCTGTTGGTTTCAGTTTTTAGACGTAGTTGGCATTTGTACCCATAGAGATACAAGCGTAAAATTCGATTTTTGTTTTCAATAATTTTATTTTAAACAAAGTTAGTCTTAGAATCAGTTACTGTAACCATATCAAAACAACTTTGGCAAATATACTGAAATGTTAAGTGAATCTGTACAGGCAAAATTTAGGCAACATCAAATTTCAAATAATACCTCGTTATATTATAATTATGTCGAATAGAACTTAATTGAAACAAATCTCTAGCATAAAGTGTTAGGTACATTATATGTAACTCAAACTTGATAATAAATTCTTATGGTAGTCAGAGTTAAAAATTTAGGGAAACCCGCAAACAAAACAAAACAAGCATACAGAACAACACATGTTAAAGAAGTTAGAGAAAAATTTTATATAATTAAAGTAATATTGTATTATAGCTATACGGCTAGAGATGCTTTCCGTTGTAAGATCAAAAAGTCATAAGTCTGGAATAATAATGCAATTTTTTTGATAATAATTTTATTATATGCAACCCTGCAAATAGAATTACGTTATAATTCACGTTTACGTTTTCTATGTAAAGTATAAAAAATGTAAAATTAGTGGAATAATGAAATAGATGCAATAATATATTTAATCACCATCGGACTCTTTTGAGTGAGCATTTTGCACTTTGCAATCAAGAATATGGCGATGGCGATCATCATTGGGTCAGATTGGGTTAAAGAAAATTAAAAATTAAATGAAGTTAAACAAATCGGTGATGTAATAAGAATAGTGTTATCAGCAGACCGGAAATATTGTCGACAAGTATTTAAATAGAACGTTTGGATATAGATCAAGTATAGCTCTCTAAGAAATATAGCTCAGTAAGTGCCCATTTGTTTTATTTATTTTATACAAACAAATGTTGATTGGTATTAATAATGTTTTACCAAAGATACACTTTATCTGGCAAGTCCTTTACAAACATAATTGCGATTTATTTCCATTAAAGGGAAAAAGAGTCATTGATCCTTGATAAAAAGGTGAACAGATTGTGTAGGAATAATTGTATATTAAGTAGTGAACAGTTGTATATTAAAATAGTTTTCCTATAAGTAGTTTTTATCTGTTATGTTGATTTGCAAATTGTTATAACTGTTATTTACAAGCACGTGTTTCAATTAGTTATACAAGTGCATGTATACAATGCATTTTATAACATCACAAAGACATAGTTAGGTACTTATACAATATGTATGTACAAATTTGAACAGCGAATGCAGAAAAAGGAAGAGAAATTTAGCGTTGGTAATTTTAGGTGTGTGTCCACCACGATATTGTGTCTGTCACCTGAATCTTTTTTTAACCCATTACTCTACCTAAGTCGTCACGTAGCTTGCCACACGTGAACATTTTACTCACAGTCTGAAATACTCTCGTTTTATGAGTACCTACAACACAAGCTACAAGAAAACAAATATGATATAATTATATATTATGAATTGGATATACTAGTGATAACCAAAAAAAATATTACTCAGCGAACGTTGCCAAATTGTGATAATTTTCCTGATAAATTGAGCACAATGCTCATGTAGCGAGAATTATTATCCAAAAACGGCAAAAACTTATCTTTTCACAGAAAAGGCATTTTATTAACATTAATAAAATATTATAGGTATGCATAAACTTTATGTTATATTTGTGTTAAAATGTTGAGTTTGTTGAAATTTTTTGTTGAGAAAATTAGAGTCATTTAAATGCGAAAAGAAAACAAATCGACTGCATTTGTAAACGTTAATGATTACCTACTGCTTTTTTAGGAAGAAAATGTACTCAGGAAATAAAAAATATACAATGAATATTCTGTATAGTATAATAGAAGAACACTTGAAGAAAACGAGATAACTACAATGAATAAATTATGTACCTACGTTATACGATGTCGATGTATTTACATACAATAGAATTGTCTTTTTTTGTTTGTACCACCTACGTAATACTAAATTATAGAAAACATTATCAATATTTTTAACTTTTATGTTTATCCTATATCTAATAATTATAGTTCAACGTCTTACTTGCAAGTTGAATAATCGTATGTTAGTATTTAATTATTCTGGACATCTCGTGGGCATTTGTCATGATCATTTTCATAAATCGCCTCACAACGCCAGTCTGTTTCTTGATTCATTCGATTAATGGTTACGTTCGCATATTAGTGAAGAAATCTAAATTCTACTGAATTTAAACGAAGTTCTATGAGATTCAGACTAGAGAAATAATTTTACTTTATACATATTTATCATATTTTTCAATCAATTTTTAATAATTGTCCAATGTACTGAGTCACATACAAACTACTGTACAAAGATAACTGAATATATTTTCCTTACACAATTTTAACGTTTAGTTAAAATAGTTTTAAATATATTCGCTTTATCTATCGAAGAGATTTTTTTTAGTACAAAGTATACATTAGAAAAGTAGTTAACTCGTGATTATTGCATGTGTGGCAGTGAAGTTTCGTTTCATTTCAGCGAAAATGAGTCAGATAAATTTACATGAAGTTTCACTTAATAAGATTATAGCTTGCACGAAAGTAAATGTAATCTTTTAATTTTTAATTTAAAAACATATTTACTTTCCAGACGCAGAATAAATGGAATTATTCTAACTCGAATAGTTTTAATAAGTATAGTAAACAAAATGTATTAGACTTTGCATTCGTGAAATTAATAATACCTGAATTTTATATCTAGTATTAATAAATACTAGAATACTACTTAACTTTTTGACGTTGATCAGTTCACACTTCGCATAAAATAAGACATAGGTAACAGAAATGAGGTCTTTAATTTTAGCAGCTAAATCTTGCAACCTTTCATACACTTGTCTACACGGAATTTAAACTTCTATACAATCTAAATGATCTAAGCTTATTTTCTAATCTCATATTGTTAGAATTCTTAATAAACAATCATGGATACTAGTAACAGTAACATTTCCAACACCATGTTTTTCATTTTTATTATGCAGGAATTTAATTTTCACTGTTATACATAATTTTAAAGTAAAGTAAAGGCAGGATAATATTTTATTCCAATAATAAAACGTTTGATTCATGAATGTTTGGCCTAATAGTATGCGTCAATGTCAATTTGTAATATTAATTCGATTCTCTTAAGAAGCAAGTTGGAGTGACTCGTGTGAACTCGTATTTTTTTCTCTCTACATTACACGTACAGACATAAGGAAAATGTTAAATATGTATTAGGTATCGCGATAAGCGATACGCAATTATGTTTACCACCTTCCATATTAAAAGAATAACGCCATTACATAGGCACTATTAACAATATATCACTTATCTTACTTCAAAAAACATAACATAGATCCCCCCTACCCCGTTTTGTATCTCGAATATCCAATGCAGAGATTTGATGACTATGTGCCCATTTTACAACACCTAAACGAGCCAATTCTTTATATATATTTAATATTCGGCGTATCAGTAAGTAACATACGATTTTCTTAATAATAATCAATAATTTCATTGATAAAAATGCCGTAAAATAGTAAAAAACAATGATGAACATTATCAAAGGACAATATATTTTTTATTTATAGAATTTTATAAAAAAGTATCGAATCACATTTCAGCTCGCCTATTAATGTGACATGTAACAACGTTCTTTAATTAATGAATCTCTTGTCTTTAGAGTTGAAAATTTAAGTTATAAATTAGTTTTAATGAACCCGATACCAAAATATGAGATGTCGCGAATATAATTTGCGATTACACCGATTCTTGTCACATTCAGTTTATTGTTAGTCTGATAACGACTGGGATAATTAGACCGCGAATTTGATACATTTACAATATATGTAAATATATAAAACGTAATGACATAAGAGCAGAATAGTGTGAAATATATATTTTAAATAGGAAATCTTCTTTATCTAATTTATAAAAATTTTAATAATATGTAATGACTTGGTCTATTTTCATTTGAATTCGGCGTGTAAATAAGAAATAGAATAGAATTGGTTTTTTGGTTGCATTAACTTTTTAAAATAGCTTTTGAAAACAATATTTTATTTTAACGACACTGAAAATAATTTATATTGATTTATTTTCAGTTTACTCGTAATATTTAAAATAATCTTGCTGGAAATAGTGATACACATTTTATATGTTTATTGGTATAAATGTATTTCTAATGTTTCGTTACACAGCATTTTACGATTTCTGGCGTTATAATATAATTTCTTCCCTCGTCCTACTTCCATTGCCAAGAAATATTTGAGGTACGTATATATTTAAAGTACAGCCTAAAATATTTCATTTCATACTCCAGGTTATTAGATAAAATAGGAATATTTTATGTGTCGAAATGTCGTTTCCTATTTAAAATAGTATTTTATTTGTAACCGTATCATATCTCATATTATTTATACATTAATAGAACATTTAATACATAACATTAAATATATAGATACATTTTTTCCCAAATTTCATCAAGCCCTGCATAAGAACTACGACAAAGTGTATGAAAGTTATTATATATATATATTGCATTTTTAACTTAATACACATTTTAATAGCGAATTTTTCTTCGTTTCTAGGTACTCAAAAGTACTGTGTAAAGTTGGAAATTCGTGTAAATAGTTCCAGTTTATTCCGTTGTATTTATGTATAAAACTATGTTTGTTTTCGGTTAACAAAGTAAGTAAATAAGTTTTGTTAGACTTACCGGTACGAGTCTCCGCAGAGGCAAGGCCTCTTCTTCTTGGTACTCTACGTCGTTCCATCGCTGGTCCAAGAAACCAAAATGGAGGGAAACCACCCTCGGTCAAAAAAAAGAACAATTTTGTACTCTTTCTCTCGCTTACACTCTCTTCAACATCAACACGCTATCATATCCTCTTCTTTAGTCTCCATTGTCAGATTTTTGGAAGTTTACACACTCATTCGCGTCGCGATAAATCGGTAAATACGCAAACGAATTCGATTCGCATTGTAGATCAATAAACAACCGATGACACAGTTTCCATTTTCAACTGTATATTACACAAATCAATTGATTATAAAGTATCTTTACTACAACAAATATTAATTATTTTTAATTTTTCTTTTATTATGTTAATTAATTTTAATTAATCCTCTCAAGAGTCTTCACGATTCGATGTTGTGAACTCGATCAAACACATTTCCTAGTTTCAACGGTCACCGCAGATGTTTCCTTTATTTTTATGTGTTAAAATCACTGAACAGATTAGGAGTGACGCGATGAATTCAGTTCGATCGGTTGCGAAGAACTGTCGAGTCGAGGGCGAATACCGTGGGCGGAGGGACCAAGGACCGAAGAGTTAAGCCGGAAGAGGAAACTGGCCACTAGAATAAACCGAGGAGGGTCCTTCTATCTTCGACGGACGCTTACTCGAAACTAAAGATCGACTAAAGACCGCATTCGAGAACTCCCTCGCATTCCCATACACATGGAAACGCGGTCACACACATACACTGGGCGGAGATCGTTTTCATGGCACGCTCACGCGGTTTCGAATGCTGGGCAAGGATTCACGCGGGAAAAAAAAAAGAGTTGACCATCGCCGAGGCTCGACCTACGCTATCGGAGAGACAGAAGCGACGGTTACTTGTAATCTCGTCGCTTTTTTAGCCGACTTAAGGGTAGAGCCTCTTGTTGCGCTTTAATCCCCGACACGTGCCAACTAACGACTTCACCTTCGTTTGAATATTATCATTAAACTTCCGATTTTATGCATTTATAGCCAGGGCCGTTCCTGGGCTGTTGGCTGCTCGGGTGCAAAAATATCACCGCCCTTATTAATTCAATATTATTCAATTAAGAATTTGACATGCTGCGTTTACTTTTATATCTATACGTATATGTAGTTTTTTAAACATTTATCTTGCAAAAGAATATTTTTTAATTTTTATTTTTATAGAATGAAACAAAGATCCTTAAAAAATAAATGGGTTTATTTGAAATGAATATTTTATTCCACGTGTAACTACAAAATTAATATATAATGTTTGTAATAATGATGTTATGCATAAAAGCGACCATTAATTACCTTCACTAATTTACTTATTTCACTATTCTGAGCTGTCGACAAAGATAGTTCATTCTTGTACACGAGTACTGTTACAAAGATTACATATAAAATTAATTTGATTGAATATTGTTTGTCTAAAATTTTCATAATCATAAACAAATTGTTGATTATTATTCTTACTAGCCAAAATTTAACTGCGGCCGCCCAGGTGCGGAGCCACTTTTTGCAACTCCGCCAGGAACGGCCCTGTCAAATAGCATATAAAATTATGTGAAATACAATAAACGACAAAACTTCCATCGAGTTTAGTAAATTGTTCATTTTATTTTCATCCCGCTAAAATCTAAAAAAATAATTTATATCATATGTAAATATTTATGAAACAACAAAAACATGCAACCGTCGTTCACTTTGCAATATTTTCAGTTTTTTAAATTTCATTGAGCAAATTACATATTAATATATTCTGCATGTCAATTTTCCTAGGCTGATTTGTTTAAGCATACAGAGATTATCGTAGTAATCATTCAGATGGTAACATGAGGTGACGTGTTCGATGAGCCATGATTTCCAACAGCTTAAGCCGACGTTTAAGGATTTACTGCTTTCCTACGGTAAAGTAAATAAGAATTATAATAATCTCCGTTTCGAAAGAAGAACAGTAATCCCAGTTACCCCGGTAGGCACCCTTTCTTTGTTTGTCTCTGCGCCGAGCTGTAGGTATATTCTCATTTGTTTGTAGAAAATTTGGAAAATAATAAGATCTCTGGTATGACTCACAAATACGTTGTCTCATACTTTATTACATCAACGAACCTTAAAAGGGTAATAAAGTAATAATAAGTATAATGACAGAATTAAGGTGGTTCGTGCCAAATTCGAAAGACTAGATAATTATATAAAATTCATACAGATTTTTTATTAGAACGAAATACACACACTCGAAAATTTTCAGACTAGGTCGCCGATGAAATAAATGAGAAATTGCTTGTCAAAAATTCAGTTTTTAACACAGCTTTTATGGCAGTCTTTCGATTTCTTACTGGAAGTATAATCTTTTCTTTTCACAGAAACTAGAACTGTTAACCAAAAATTAGATACAGAAAGTATAAATCCTGAGCTTTCTGATAATGAATTAAATCTTGTACCATGCCGAACATTCCAGGAAGATATTTGACAATAAAGTTCAGAATGTGTCGGTAGTTGGATGCGTATTGCAACTATGTTGAAGACTTGGCAACGTTGCTGAAATATGGTCATACCCGCGAAATTAAAAGAAAGATAAAAAATATTTTACTTGTTTTGTGTTTTAGTGAATTCTAATTTTCTAAATTATAATGCACGAGAATATAATTAACTTTACATATAAGAATATTGAATATTGACTATACGCGAGAAAACTGAGCAAGCACACACGTATATAGATATGCGTGCAAACACAACGTTGACAAACGTACCGCAAACGAGCACAGTGGAGTCATACGACTAACCAAAATATATTTTTTATTATTGGAAATGTCATTGAAATTCATAGATATAATTTTTATTCGCTATTAAAACGTATTAGTGGGTGTTTAATATTAATTAGTAATATGATGCTTTATTGACTACCTAGAGTCTCTAGGCTAGAGAGCACAAAACGCCCAATAACGCCTTGAAGACGGCTTAACGACGCCTTAGACTCAAAATAGCTATAAAATGGACGGTCTTCAAGACGTCATGTGGTATCTGGGTAGAGAGTCAGGTCATGAACCACCTTAATATCAACCCAGATAGCACATGACGCCTTAAAGACGCCTATTTTACGGCTCTTTTAGGTCTAAGGCGTCTTTAAGCCGTCTTCAAGGCGTCATGTGCTATCTGGGAAACTACGAATAGAAATCACGTAAAAAGGAACGAAAATATGTTCATTCTCGAATCACTTCCTCGAATCAGTTTCAATATATAATATAATGGCACGTTTTAAATCATTTTTCGAAACATGTATTTTGTTCTGTTTATTAAAAGCTTGAAAAAATGAAATCTCAAAACGAAAGATGAACGTAAAATGAAGTAATCAAACAGTTATTTGTGTGGACGTACTTGCATATTACGCCACTAATGATTAACCAGTGTATATCGCGATCAGTTTGATACACTGCTGTCCAACTGGGCGCCACTTCCCCACTTGATTTTGCTGCGCGTGAATAACATGACTTTTCAGCTTCTGATCGCGATAAACAAGTCAATCCCAGTTACGACCACAGAAACTCATCCATGGATGCGAACGTTCGTATAATCTCATATAGTCAGAGACGTATCGAAAAAACGGCATTTCGGTTTACGTTATTCATCTTCTCGAGTGTCACGCGAAATGTGGAAATGAGCGAACGCATATCAGTCTAGAATTTTAAATATTCGCGACAGATACGATATCGAGTGCAGAAAACATGGAAATATCGGCATGGAATTAGAGTACGTCGAATGATTATAATAATTTATGGAACACTTTATATTGCCGATCTTATGATAATTACAACGATGTGTGAATTTATATAGTAATAAATATATGTATTTAAAATTAAATTAAAGACATATTAAAAAGTGTACGGCTATAATATCAGTATGTAGAAAGAAAAGGACAACTAAATAGTAAGATAGTCATATTTACCGCTAATAACCGCAAGGTTGATGTGACCTTAAATAAATAAAAAAAAAGTCATATTTACATGTCAAGCGCATACTTTGTTGCCCATCTGTTTTTGTTGCCGAGGTTCGGGCTTCGGGCGAAAAACGAATTTACGAGAGTCTGAAGCATTTCTCCCTATACGATTATTGTCGCGGCGTGGAACCGAGTTCTGGACAATAAACGAGAGGAGTCTGTACCTGATTAAGTTCTTGAAACACGTGCCACTTGATGCCGTCAAAGGACGAAATCTTGCTCCAGTTGAAACAGAAATGGGTCGGAACTAAAAAAAAAATGGCCGACAGAACCACAAGAGGGGGGATACGTTAATAGTTTTCGAAGAGCCTCTCTTGGAATGGCGTAAGTGTTGTATATTTACACTGGCGTTACAGGCTCACACCTGGACGCAAGAATAGCGCCGCTTCTTTTTCCCCGAAGAATCTTCTCGCCCGTGCGTCAGATGACCCCTAACAAAAGGGATCGCCGACTCCTCTTCGTTTCCTTCGGGGAAGTTTTATTATTACAGCACCTCATGAGTATAGTCGCGCAAGAACGGAAACAGCAAATCGTCACGTCGTTTACAGGTATTAACTCACGTTTATTGAAAGTTAGATCTTTCGAAACAGAAATTTATTTCTTCTGTTAACAGATTTTGAGAAATATTAATTACAAGAAGAAACCCGTTATATCTTTATTAAAACATATAGTTTCTTGTATTCTGCACAGATATTACATTAATTTCATGAAGTTTGTAATTTATTAATTACAGAGTCGTATACAGTAATGTCTCGATGAGTGCGACGTATTGGGGTCCAGTAAATTTGTTTTTTGCTAGAAGCCAAGCCTCTGCTTAGCTTCTGTTTGCTCTGATTTGATTGGTTCCACATGGAGACTCCCCCAGTGATAACGCCGTTGCTCATGTCGCATTCATCGAGGATTCACTGTACATTGCTACAGTCCAAATGAACAAACTATTAGCTGCGTCCAAAAATCAATTATAGCAACCTGTGTGTTATTTTTTGTTTCGATATAATTAATACTTTGTATGCGTGTCACAACCCTTAAGTGTACATATCATCATTTTCTGTTTTTATGTCAAAAATTGGAATATTACATTACGTAGAATTTAATTATGAAAAAACATGAACATTTAATTTCCAATAACACTATAATGCAGATAATATACTCGTCACTTTTAACATCCTTTTTCCATTATATCATGAATAATTAAATGTAATTTTTAAAAGATTTTCACATCATGCATTAACAGCGCGTATAATTATTTCTTCCCATTCAATTTTTTCTATGAACAGGTCTTCATAAATATTTAAGAGAGTTGTAGCCAGTTGGAAGAGATCGATCGAACATTGAAATGTTGTTATAACTGGTAGTGTTATATGTATGGTAAAATGTACGTACATGATGCATCATACGGTTATTTAGTTGTTTATAGTTGTAAACTATGTTGCACTTACATAACATACAAATGAATACAAAGAAATTAGGTTTCACAGCTATTTAAATAATTTTTAATTTTACAATATCTCGGTTGCTTAAAAATAAACTAACATTTATTATTCAAATGATTGATGAAAATAACGAAGAAAAATATTTTTGTAAAACATTAACATGTATAGACACTTCGTTTGTTAATTGTGTTATAATGCAATTAATTTCCAGACAACCTACTACAATATTAAAGTATAAATATGTGCACATTCTCTCATACTTTTGATAACATTTTTTTGCTTATCTACTAATATTTCAATCGCATTTTGTAAACTTCCCTTTCTTTCCTATGAGCTATATGAATCATCGTACAAAATATGGGATCAACCGAAAATTCGTTTACTCTACCAAAAGTTCTATCAGGTTCCAAATAAAATGAAATCTCATTATGTTTTATTAAACTTTTCACTAAATGGAAAATTAGACGACCATGCGTGCTAGAAATGCATAAAATCCGCAAATTAATAACAACGTACATGTATTATATACACATTTTTAAATTACAAATGCCAGGTTTGAAATAGGTAATTATCTGAAATAAAATTTCCATACTTCAACTGTATTTATTCGGTTAGCAGAACATTAGAAAAGATACGTAACAGTTGGAAAAGGAACGTAAGAATCCTCCCTTTACAGGAAATCGCATTCGAGATGGAATGCAATGAGTGTCGGTTCTTCGGCCTGGAAACGGGAACTCCTCAAATGAAATCAGATTCAAAGAAGACATCAAGAGCCTGGTTTACACCCGTTCAACTTGCGGATCGTCGATTTTCTTAGGTACCGAAAGACCGGAACGACGCCGGTATGCATGCAGATGGTGGTCGTAAGAGGGGTGGTCTAAAATAATAAAGAAGCTGGCACGAAGATGAGGAGTGTTTGTATTTCCACATACGATGGCCGATTCTCAAATGACAAAGTGCAACTGGAAAAACCTATAGTCGGAAGACAATACACGAATGAATAATTACCAATAATTCCTTGTAAACCGTCGCTTTTTTCCCGTTATAAGCAAACGATAAAGATTAACCATCATTTTCGTTTAAATTTTCTATTTTATCTCTCAATTCTTCATTCGCAAAAGATCAGTTTTATTATTGTGAAAAACGTACGTGTTAGTAATTCACGTTATGTATATAAGAGTAATCGTGATTACAAGCATTGTCAGTATTTAATGGAAACTTAAATAAAATCGAGTAAAGAAATACTTAGACTGTATTTTAGCTGAAGAAATATTATCTATAAAAAAAGATAAAATAAATGGTTAATCCTCTTTTATAATGAAATCTTAAATATTTTCATTCTCATTAGAAAAACAGGATAAAATTATAAAAGTAACAAACTACAATGCATTATTGCCTAAGGAAATAAACTTAAAGGATTCATTATTGTTTATTTGGCAAGATTAATGAATGTAAGTATTCCGTATTTAATCAGACATCAAATCAAAATTGTTACTACATATTAATACTTTTTTGCAAATTATAGACTCAAAGTGAGTACATAACTATCAGAGAATAAAAATTACTAGATTATTTGTACATTAATCTGTATACTCAATAATGGTAGTTTAGATATATTTTAATTTAGCTCCTCCACTGCCTTTAAAGAGAGTATTTTTCCTAGGGGCACCCTGTATATTGAAATCTGTATTTCAATCGAAATATAATCCAATATTTATGATAATCTGTTCTATTGTCGAAGCTAAATTAGTTGCAACGTAATATGCATATTACATATCTCTTCTCTAGACATGCAATCCTATAAAGAATATTGATTTAACTTTCAGCACTATGCGAGAAATCTGTTTCGTAAGAGTATGGTAGTCCAGGTCTGTAATTCACGCCATTAAGTTGACTCTAAAATGAAATATAATTATAAACCGTCGTTGGGTGAGCTACGTTCCAGTCTGAAACAACGATTGAGAGAGTATTTATTAGAAAATACTTTGCATGGTGTACCATATTTCGTGGATCCTACACGGCCCAAATCGGAAAGGTAATTTTAGAGTTCAGCAAATATAATTTAACATGTAATTGTCTCTATTATTAGAAAATGTATTCTTTATCAGTGACGATATAATTAAGAAATTCTGCTAAAACTTTCTACATACGATCCGTTTCTGTATAAACGTATTGGGTTGAATTATAAATAATTTCCATGTCTCTGTTTTAAGTTCATTCTGTCGAATTGACAATTAAATTTTATGGATCATATTTTCTTCGTTGCTAGGAATAATTAATATTTATTTTTGAGTTTAAGAATTTGTATTATTAGTATTCTTCAAGAATTAGTTAATAAATTTCTACCATTTGGGACAGCAGTTACTTTTGATTTAACTCAATATATTTGTTTCCTTATCACATGGTAGACGTTGAAACAAAATTTTTATTTCCTTTTGAACTAAATAAGATACTTAAGAGAAGAAAGAAATTCCTACGTTTGCTCTTGCATGTCTTTATAAAGATCTTCAAAAAATGTCATTTTGCATAGAAATCCGCAGTCTAGTAAGTACAATAGGACCAAAATAATTATTTTAAATAAAAGTTAGATATGTATTACGTATTTTAATTTGTCACTTTATAAAAATATATCGCAATTCGCGATGACGGTTACAGTCCTTTGATGAACTTTAATCTCATTCCTTGTCCAAAAACAAGGGATTAATATATAAAACTTTTCAATCTTGATCGAAAGATCTGTGCACTGATTATTTATTTACTGACAATTGCATTACGTAAGTGTATTAAAACAAACCAGTGGCATGGAAAAACGACCATATACGCAATCAAGAAAAAATATTTTATTATCTTCATTGATTTCATTGCAACAACAAATCAACATATGTTTGTATGCAAATTAATTGAAATTGAACGTAAAAATTTAAAAACCAAACGCATTAAAAAGATCTAAAATTATAGTTTTAAGGAATTTCTAAAGTATATATGATTTACGATAAAGTTTAATCGGTTTGATAGCAATGAAAATAATAAGTAGATTGCAGATTTTGTAAATTATTCCACGATTGTCACTCTTTGCATAAATATCTGCAGTTTACTAATGAGAGACTCTAATGCATGAGAATATATGTAAATAAATAAAATTAATGATCACGTTTTACGTAATTTCTTAATACACAATTAATTCTTACACAGATTAATATGGTTTCTTTTAACGATTGCATCGATAGTAGCAACTGCTGTTACAATCGCGATAATTTGGGATAAATTTCAAACAGAGCCAACTATAACAGGATTGGCTATTATGACAGAGCACATTAACATCGAATTTCCTCAAATATTTCTTTGCTTTGACTGGACTCAACTAAATCACACGAAACTTAACGAGGTAAACATTTTGTTAAACAAACTAGTTTTCATATTTTCATGTGGTTTGAAAATACATGTAAATTATTGCCTATTACAAATGTATATAATATTTTTGCTTTTAAAGTATAATAATTTTACATGAAATTAACCGTTAATGATTATAATTAACAACAAAAATAGAAAATAAGAGCGTACACGTTACATAAAATAATACACGCAATGTTATAATTTATTTTAATTGTGCAACATTGTGTATTTGAATTGAATATTATATTACGATGTTTGTAAGTAATTGTTTTTAATTTGTACATAGAATGAGATGTATATGCATGAACAATTATACAATTGGACTTGGGGAAAGAATATGGATTTGCAAATGTTTAAAACAGGTTATGAAAATAAAAGGAATTTTCGCAGTACTTTCAAAACGATGATACCTGACTGCAATGACTTGATCATCAACTGTTCATACAAGTAAGTGGAATATGCTATTAATAATGAATCAGCATTACTGTGTTATTATTACTAAGGTAATAAAATATGTATACCATTAGTTTTGAAGTGTTCCGAATGTTGGAAAACAAGAAAACATGTATAAAGTGTTCAAGAATAGCATTTAGTAGAATATACATATGTATTCTTGATGGTATTAAAAAAAACAATTACACGATTACTGTTAATCCCATTATAATTTCTGTTTAGGGGAATTGATAAACCATGTAATAAATTATTTACAAAAGTTCTTGCTTCTGTGGGTGCATGCTGCAAATCGAATGCTATGGAGCCTTTTGGAATCAAGGATACAGCATGGAACCTTGAGTTTGGAACAATAAGCTCATACTTTCCTTGGAGGTAAACTATACAGTAGGCGATCGTTTATTGCAGCTTTCGGGGCTGTAGAGGGTCAGAATTCCAGGAATAGTACAATAAGGAAGCTCCAATCACCCGCGCGCTCACCCCTCCATTCAGCCGTTCAATTGTGCGAGGCACCTACATATAGGGTGGACTGGATATACGCATTTTACGGTCATCTTCATTATCTTCGTTATTTTTGGAGATATCAGAAAAGTTTATTCACAGAAGTTGTTTAGTATGGAAAGGGCTATTAATTTGTAGTAACGATTTTTTCGTTGGTCGAGGATATCCTTAGTTTTCATGATTAATTATGTTTTCTTTTTAATGATACTGAAATAGGGTGGAATAAAAATATTTTTTTACGTAAGTGGATTGTTCTAATATTAAGGTAATGTGTGAAAAAAAGTAATCATTCGTGAGATATTTTATATACAAATTGTAAAATATGTCACAAACTGTTAATTTTGTCTCGACCTATTACAAAATTATTTCTGCTATGTTATAGTCCCTCCGTTACCACATAAGTTTTGTGAATAAAATTTGTTTATACCTGTAGAAATTATGAAGATAATTAATGTGATCAAAGTTACTGGACCATTGTTTATAATGCATGTATAATTGAACAGTAGTTTCATTTATTCTTCTTTATTGAAAACAATGTAATCAATAATATGAATATTTGAATTTGTTTAACTGCAACAAACAAAATGCTTAACGAATACATTTGCTTATGAGTTATCTTATTTATGTACAAAAGTGTAGAAAAACACGAGTTAGTAATTGCAACAAAATACAGTAAAGAGCAAAACTGAACCAGTGTGACTATTTTTCCAGGAAAGTAAGTTATTCATTTAGATGCTACTAATATGGAGTAACAGAAAAGCTCAAACTGTACATGTATAATTGTACACCCATTTCAGTTTAATAGACAATTAATGTTTTAACTTCATTACACTGAGCTTATTATGTAGGTATATGTTACTTCTGACTTATAATCTTCATAACATACTCAATGTTAAATTTTCATAATATCTTTCAAGATATTCAATCCTATTGTTCTATGATTTTATTATTGGGAACCTTCTGTTAATATTTTCAAGTAGAGATCACTGGACAAAGAATGGAACATTTACCAATACTTTTATACATATATTCAGAAGTGTCTTGGAAGTAAAATATTATAAGTAACAAATTGAAAAGAATATACTGAAAAAATTCATTGTTTCTTAAGCGGAAATAGTTGTACAATTATATACAGGTTGAGATTTTCAATTATTTTATATATGTAACATTTATAGGAATAATCATTTATATAAAACACTATTATTGGTTCAGTTTTACTTTGTATTATTGTAATAAATTTTGCGCTATCATGCCCTTGGAAAACACATTTTTTTAATAGGTATTAGTCTCATTTATAAACTCCATATGTATGAATTTTTAACTTTTTGCAGCTGTTCAATTTTTATGATCAACCACCTTAAAGACATTTAACATTCTTGTGCCCAACACTGACTTTGTTATAAGTTTATTTGCTTACATAACTACTTATATTCTATATCGAAATGTAGTTGATTATAACTGAAAGCGTCTAAAAACATTGAAACATTTTATTAAGACAATATTATATACACTTCGCTTTCTGTAATGAAATATACGAGTGAAACGTGACACCGTATGTATTCCGTCCTGGGCGTGCTGGATGACAGAGTGGGGTGCGCGCACGTGTGTCAGAAATACGTGTGAGCGAAGGGCGTTCCTATGCTACAATAAAAGGGCCTGCAATAAACGATCGCCTACTGTACACTCGAAATAGTTTTCAGCTATTTATTGACAGTGAGACATATAATTCATTGTTTCTTATTTTATAAGTGAGGAAAATTCGTTTTATGTATTGTTTTATTCACATTGTTATAAATTCTCATACGGTAGACATTCAATAAATGCACGATTCAGGGCTTAGAGGGCTAAATTTCTAGCAATCGTACATTAAACGAACTTCAATCACACCCGCACTCTCCTCATCAATTGTCCGTTTACATACAGGTCATTCCACGCCAAATCGATCACTTTTTGCACTCGCTATTAGGGATTTTATTCAAAATGAAACATGTAGTCCACGTGAAATTAAGGGGGGGGGGGTAAGTCATCATTATTCGGTTCTCGAATTTGTTTAAAAAATAAGTAATCTGTATACATGTATTGACAACAAAGTAAATTTAAACTAAAGTGTTATTGAAGCATGTGAACCAGAATAATCATGATTTCTATCGACTTTTTTCACTTAAATTGCAGACTTTATATTACACACAATGTTGACTCAGGGCCAGGACCAGGAGAAAGACCAGTTGTAAAGGCTTACTTTCCAGTCGATATTGAATTTATCGTTGACATGACATACACTACTTCTGATATTCGTTATTTAACTCTTCGACAACGAAAGTGTTATTACAAGCAAGAAGGTGTAAGCTTAAGTAACTGTGAGACTCGCTACTTAATTGACAAATTGTTAAGCGATTGTAATTGTCTACCATGGTTTTTATCATTCACAAAGAAGACAGAGTGTCCACTTTCAAAGTATTCTTGTTTAAATGAATCTAATATAGATATGAATGATTGTAATTGCTGGCTTCATTGTGATCACATATCATATAGTGTGAAAGGGGTGGTGAAATCTTCAAATAATGTTAATCGAATTATATTAAAAAACTGGCCAACAGCTATTTATAAAAGAGAAATGCGCTTTGGTTATTTGGATTTACTAGTATCATTTGGTGGTATTGCAAGTCTTTTTTTAGGATATTCGTTGTTGACATCTGTTGAACTGGCATATTACTTTGGTCTTCGTAGTTACTGTGGAGCTGTGATTCAGTCATCTCGACAAAGACATAATATTATAACTGTTCACGTGGTAGAAAAAATTTCAAGTAAGACAGGTATTAACCAGAAATATTATCAATACACTGATTAATTAGTTAAGATAGATTATAAAAAATTTATTCACAGTAAAATTTCAAAATTTCATCTTATTTCACATTAAATGAAATTTTATTCATTTATTAAAACTTTTACTACTAGTACTATATTACGTGTATTATATATAGTTTATATGTTTTATATTAAATATTTAAATAAATATATAAAGTATACTACTGTGTTTTATTTTCTCTCAAGGTATAAACAACTTTTGTGTTGGTTATCTAGGTTAGGAAAATATAATTCGATACAAGTAGGTATCGATACTTTTCTTTCGATACCGAGTAAGTATCGATACTTTCATACAATACTACTAGCAATGAGTAGAAGTATCGATAGATTGGAGGTATCGTTTCAACCCTAGCCACCAAGCGCTTTCGCCCCTCCAACAGCGATGTGCCAGCAAGAGAAGAGTTACTCCAGGCTCTTCTGTCCTTCGGTCTCGACTTCATCCCTAACAGAAGACCTCGCGGTCTATTATACATGTCTATGGGAGAGAAAACATAGTGGAAATGCGAATGTTTCGTAGCGCCACCTTGTCCAGGTTTGATCCACGTTCTTTTCAGAACGGTCGAAACGTTGCGTTCGTGTTGAGAAAACGTGACCACAGAGAACATCGTGTGGTGGTCCGCGATCAGAAGAACGAGTGTTATGCATGATATTGCATATTGACGTACATTAAAATTGTCGCGCGACGGCATGCAGTTATCGAAGTAAATAAGCCGCAGTTTCACGGGTACGGGATTTTTCACAGTAGCACAGGTATCCGGGTGCCGGTACATATCAATATACGCGAGCTCGGAGGATTGGTTATTGAAAAAATGGCGGCGGAAATGCTAAACAAGAATCGAATGATGGTTTTTAAGAACAAAGGCAAAGATCAAGAAGTGAGTATTGAATGTGTTCATCGTTGTGCGTGGTAATAACCTTATGCATCTGGAAGGTTCGACTGTCGCTTCGAACGGAGGATTGCCAGATTACTGCACGCGCTAGTTTTCCCAAGATAGTGAAATGTATTTCCACACTTTATCGTTCCGGTTGAATTTGCGAAGATTCTTGCGCAATTATTTTATACAGAGATACAATGACTTTTGATCAATTATCGTATCATTAATCGCCGCGTGCGAAACAAGTGGAACGTGATGTCAGTTTTTAAAGTTTCGTCAGATACATAGCAGAAACGGATTAACTCAGATAATTAGCAACGATAAATGTGATCAGTGTGGCAAAAGCATTCTTTCAGATACATTTCGAATATTGTAACCACATATCTAAATATATTATTTCTACATTTACTTGGTGCCAATACTATACAACATCTTTATATATTTGTTGTAGTTTTGGATTGCAATTAAGGTGATAATCTAAATTATTGTAGACAGTTTTGGAAACTGATAATATAACTATATTAATAATAAATTTCTTTTCGATGATAGTGGTACAATGTTTCTAAAATGTAGCACTTTTGATAAAATCGATGTTACTTTTTAACGTTTGGTTGAATGCATGTTGTAGTTTTATTCCATTTGAAAATATACATATAAATCTTCTTTTTAAAATACTTCATTTTGATGAATTTATAAATATATGTATTATGCGTAATCATATTGCATTGTAATGTTAAATTGATGTTACGCTATTGTAAATAGTATTAATTGTAATAATTTGTGGCATTGACTTACATTGTCAATTTACATATGTTTGCAATTTATTATGTATTACATATGGTTTTAAATTGTTTTTTTTATATATGATTTTAGAAGAGTTAAAATAGATATATGTACTTTGTTAATCACATACGACAAAAATTTTAGAAAACTTTAGTATTTTTAACACTAACCGTACCTACCTCCGGTCAAATGACCGGTTTTATATACGGTAGAAATAGGTATATAAAAGTCTCGGTACATTTAGTTTTAAAAATTCAGAATTCACTTTAGTTATAAATGTAATTTTATATAATTCTATTACATTATATTGGTTAAATATAAACGATACTACAGCATAACTTGGTTTTTTACAAATTACTAAACAGTACAATGTATTTTAGATTTTATTGTTTCATACATTTTTGTATAATTTTATATGTTTGAGTAACTTTAAACTCATTAATTTATTAAATATTGTAGGAAATGAGACGAAGGAGAAACGAAGTGACAGTAGAATTACGTAAAAATAAACGTGACGAGACTATACAAAAACGAAGAAATGTGCCTAGTACTGACCTTACAGGTAATTTTTTTTTATAAAATTGATAGGTATTTATAAACAAATTAAATCTTCATCAATTAATAATAACATTTTTTTTAGATGAAGATGATTTGTCAAAAATTGAGTTGGAAGAATTAGTAAAGAATGCTGCTAGTTCAGATCCAGCTATTCAATTGGAAGCTGTACAATCTACGAGGAAGTTATTATCGTCAGATCGTAATCCACCAATTGATCCATTAATTGATAGTGGCATTTTACCAATCTTAGTTCATTGTCTTCAACAGCACAATAAGTATGAACGTATTTAAATTTATACACTGATTCTTATAATATAAAATAACTAATGTACTGTGTAATTTCTTTTACAGCCCAACATTACAATTTGAAGCAGCATGGGCCTTAACAAACATTGCGAGTGGAACATCGCCTCAGACACAAGAAGTCATAAATGCTGGTGCAGTTCCACATTTCTTGAGATTGTTATTTTCGAGTCAGCAGAATGTTTGTGAACAGTCTGTATGGGCTTTAGGTATGTCACAAAATACAGATGAAAAATACAAGATGTACTTAAACTCATGGCACAATTGAAAAAGGAGCAACTCCTTAGGTGAAATTACAGTGAAACTGTATAATAATGTTTGTCTTATTAATGTTAAGCATTTATAGGTATATATATCATAAAATTTAAGAAAACATAACATGTAATTTAGTTTTGTATTCTTGATTAAATTTTTCATGATGCTGCCTAACATGTTCCTAATACATGAAATTATTAAACAATTTTTTTTTGCTTTAATCGGTTTAAAGTTTCTAAGTACATCTGTAATCTAAACTAGTAAAACATGTTTTCTTTTGTTAAGTATGTAATCAGGGTAATCCTTTTTTAATAGTATTGTGATTTTAATTGCACCATGCTCTTAATATGTAGGTTACAGACTTACTTTTGCAGTAACCAGTGCAACCGTGTGATATATTTGTACATTAAAAATATGTTTTTTTTGTAGGAAATATTATTGGAGATGGTCCAAAGTCTAGGGATTATGTTATTACTCTTGGCATTGTAGAACCATTGTTAACATTTATTAAACCGGATATACCTATTAGTTTTTTACGAAATGTAACATGGGTCATCGTAAATTTATGTAGGAACAAAGATCCCCCACCACCTGCTCAAACAATTAAAGATATTTTGCCTGCACTTAATCTACTCATACACCACACGGATATTAATGTGAGTGATAGTGAAGCAACACTTAATATATTTATAATAAGTTATTCTTAATGTAAGTTGTCAAGATCACTGTGTATTACAGATCCTTGTCGATACTGTTTGGGCTCTGAGTTACCTCACTGATGGCGGTAACGAACAAATTCAAATGGTCATAGACAGTGGTGTGGTGCCTCGTCTTATACCACTTCTCTCGCACAAAGAAGTTAAGGTACAAACGGCTGCTTTGAGGGCAGTTGGTAACATAGTAACGGGTACAGATGAACAAACACAGACTGTATTAAATTGTGACGCGCTTTCGCATTTCCCTAATTTACTGACTCATCCAAAAGACAAAATATGTAAAGAAGCAGTCTGGTTCCTTTCTAATGTAACTGCAGGCAATCAATCACAAGTTCAAGCTGTTATGGATGCTGGGTTATTGCCACTTATTATTCGCAATTTAGCAAAGGTGAGAATACGTCCTGTTTTGCAAAATCATGGAGAACAATTATATTAAATAATTAACATTATTTTATTAATATATATTTTTTTTATCGAATAGGGTGACTTCCAAACGAAAAAAGAAGCAGCATGGGCAATTAGTAATTTGACGATAAGTGGTAATAGAGAGCAGGTTGTGCAGCTCATACGAGAAGGCGTCATCGCACCTTTCTGTGACCTCCTTTCCTGTAAAGATACTCAAGTTGTACATGTTGTTTTAGACGGTATACATAATATGCTCAAATTTGCTGGACCAGAAGTTGAGCAGTTGGCTAACATGATCGAGGAATGTTCAGGTTGGTTTCTGTAACACTGACATTATTTTTTCGCAAATATAATAAAAGTAACGATATACATCGTTTAATTTACAGGTTTGGATAAGATCGAAGCACTTCAAACTCACGATAATGTAGAAATTTATAAACTAGCATTTGATATTATCGAGCAATACTTCTCCGAAGAGGTAAATGTTCATTTTAACTTCAAACTTGGTTGTCTATTCATCTTCTTCCGATCTTTTAATTAAACATATTTATTTCAATGATTTCAGACAGATGACACGAATTTGGGACCGCAGGTCGGAGAAGGTACATTCGAATTTGATCAGACGTCGACTATTCCGAGCGAGGGTTTTAAATTCTGAGAAGGCCTCCATTATTTCTCATCCGATCGTGCCGTCCCCCGACAAACTCCATTACGGAGCCATTCTGCTTACCCTTTCCTATTCCTACGTCTTATTCTTGCTCCAATGAAAACACGTGGCATTGTTAAAATGCCACCGCTGAACCAAGAATCATGTTTCTTTTGCTAATCCGAATGTATGACAGTGACTATTTGCCCGGTAGAGGGGATATTAAAGAGGAGCAGAGGAAAAAAAGTTACGGAGCGAAGGTATTTCTTACCGAAACAAGATAAAGTCTGTATCTTTTCGTTTTCCTTCTGATTCGTTTAAGAACGCATATGTTACCTGTTTCCATATTTTTTTTTGACGTCGTACATATTAAGAATTATCGGCGGAGCGGACCTTAGCCGGACGCAGCTAGATGTATGCAACGTGCCGACTAAATTATTTTAGCGAACTAATTAACTAGCTCTCTAAAACGAAGAGCAACTGGAGAAAACCTGGAAGACCTTTTTATTGCTTGATCATGTTGCTGTCCATTCTAACTCGAGATGAGTCTTGGTTAGCGATGTTACATTTATAAAACAATTCGTGTATATTTTAGGCATGTTAAATTTATAATAATATTGATTACTAAATAAATGAATCGATTGACTACTCTTTATTAGTTTAATTCATGACTATGGAGTATTATTTCTGTAAGAAGAACAGGACGAACAATAAAATTATCATCTAAAATCGGCAATATTCACTGCCGATCTTTACTTGCATATTTCATCATGTGATCGATTACAAATTGTAGAGCATTTAATGACTACAATGATTCCTCGATTAATGTGACACGAGCAACCGCGTTATTCCCACCACTAGGGGAGTCCCTCTGTGGAATCAATCCATACTGAGCAAACAGAAGCTAAGCAGAGGCTTGGCTTCAGTCAACAAACAAATTTACGAGGAGTTGAAAACATGAATGCCCCGAAGTGGACTCGATTATGTCGCACTTATCGAGGCATTACTGTGTATATGGAACACGATGGTCTTATGACAAAATTATCTTTTATTTTCTACATGATTACAATTACGAGTCAGGTGTATATTCAATCGTGGGATCACCGAACGCGTGAACATCTTCTGCATAAAGATTTTCAGGAAGTGTGTCATCACTGTTCGGAAAATATGTAGGAAAATGCGGAGAAACAGGTCGTTTAGTAAAGAGCATGGAATCGTATAAGTAACACATGGTGTTCGTCTCTCCTGGTATATTTGGACCTAATACCCAAATTACATTATACTTCGTGTTTACTCGTAATATCTGTAAAAGAAGAATTATTAATGGAAATATTAATTCTTTTATTACAAAATATTCTAATTAACTATTTTAGCAATTTCTATCTCGCGCAATAACTTTGAATATGAACTTGTTTGAAATATTGATTTTTATTGAATTTGTACCAGGACTTTTATTAAAATTATAAGTAACTGAATTCACAAAGAAACTAAAGAACAATATTTATGCAGAAATAAAAGTATTTCAATACGGTTACTAAAATTTCTTAACACATCGAGTAATGTTCACTTTAGTAGTTGATTAATTAAACATATTAAAGACAATATTATAATTTACACCATAATCTGATAAGTTCAACTGAAGTTTCGAATGCTTAATTTCTCACATCGTATCATTATATATTTAAAATATTTATATATTAAAAATATACAATATATGTTACGCTTTGATTTTTATATTGCCATATTTCTTCTACTACCAATTAAAAAAAGTAATTGTATTTGGAACAACAGTTTCTGTTAATTTAAAATATATATTCATTTATTTGATAAATCTTGTATCAAAGATTTATGAGATGTAAAAAAAATTCATTCAAATTTGTTATCACCAGTTAGAAATGTTAAAAAATCAAATGTAATCATCAAATCAAATTGACTTAAGCAATTGCAGAAAACTATTATTCCTTCGAATCGTAATGTTTGATAAACCATAAATTAGCTAAATGATTTGTAATTACCTTTACAGCTTTCAGAATACGCCAACGATTTCCCATGTGTCCAGGCATTTTGGTACCAGGCATTACTCTAGCTTTTTGACCTCCTGAACCAATATTACCTCCTCTTCTGTGAGTTTTAGTGACACCATGACTTGCAGGCATACCACTGAATCCCCATCTTTTCATAACACCTTGGAAGCCACGATCTATCCTATATTGATAAAGAATGTCATAATTGACCAGTAGGTATCTAACACAGAACAAAAAAAAAATAAATAAAATGTTTACGTTTTTCCTCTGATATCAACAAATTGTCCTGGTGTAAAATGGGCTGCAACCAAAGGAGTACCGGAAGGTAGGGCAGCATCTGGTGTAACATAAAACCTCATCATTGTTCTCTTTGGTGTAACGCCAGCAGTATTAAATATTCCGTAGTAGTCTTTAGTTAGCTATGAAAATAGAAAATACGAACGATAAGTTTCGTTCATAAATAATTACGGAACAATGGATGAAAATCGTAGCAACTTACTAGTTGTGGATCAATATTTTGTGCACCTATTATAAGGCAACCAAGTTTTCTTTGCAAAACTTGATGCTTTATAGACTTTATAACTGGATTACATTCTTCTGGTGGTATATATTTTACAACTTCATTATCTACAATCTATAAAAAAAATAACATGTATGATAATGTAATATTATTGTATGGAATAAAAACATTCATATGGTTGTAATAGTTAATAGCACCTGTAGAAGGGTAGTTAACACTCTTTGTCCATTCTTAAGCCACATTGGATATACTCCTATCTTCTTGCCAATTAACCCAGGACGCCTTGATGATTTAGTCCATTCTGTATTTGGTTGAATTAATTCTGTATTTAATGGAGATTTGTTGTTGATTAGTCCTCGATTACAGGCCACAATTTGTGAGATAAATTCTTTATTTCCCGGAGTAATTGATTCATCATAGAGCTAATAAAGAACATCACTGTTATATTGTTGTTATGAAACGATGAAGCAAAATGAAGTTTTTCTTATATGAGCACGTACCACACGTTGTGGTTTTGGAAGCCATTCTGGGTGGCGTTTCTTTGTGGGAGGAGTGAATCTTCTATTGCGGCTGGGTACTGTTATCATGCCCATACTACAATTAATTATCACATTATTAACTAACATTAAAAATATAGCACTTTATAGTTCAATAAGTAGGAAAGTGTTAGCTTAATAATAATGTATTACTTTTTCTTCATACCTTGTTTTCAAGTATTTACCAAAAAGTTGAAAACCTTGATAACTTTTTAGAAACGATGCCATATTTACTTATTCAATGCTGAAGAGTTGCAGTTTATAGCTAATTATATTGTAAGCTGAGATGCTATGTAACCTTAGAGAGAAACACGTATCAGCAGAAAATATGTTACATAGAATGTAAACACTAGATATTTAAAAAAATCATTACTTTTCACGTAGTTTGAAATTTCAAGAATTATCGTATGTTAACGTTTTCTTTCAGAACTTTGCATGTTAATATAGTCGACATAAGCACATTTAAATCAGAAGCAGAAGAAACACTAATAATCCATATGCAAGTTCAACTAACAGTGTGTGTATAAAAAAGAAGTGATCAACGAATCCGTTGATAAAAAGGAGTTAGAATTTCGTTATCTACAGTTAGTACAGTAGACGCTCGATAATTGATCCTCTTGGGACTGTGGAGGACAGAATTCCAGAAATACATATTGCAATATCTCATTGCATATTTAGTGTCACCACAGACGAGATATAAGAATAGACTTAACATGCAATGTAATTTTCTGTCCTACGGGTAAGGACATTACGTGGTATAAATAATTTTTCTGTAAATGTAGTAAGTGTAGTAGTGGGGGAGACCAGAGACCCCGTGTGATGAGATCGTGGGGTCACAGAACCCCCGGTGGAGGCGTCACGGTCCCCGTGTGGTGAGATGGAGGGGTCATAGAACCCCCGGTGTAGGCGCCAGAGACCACTTGTGGTGAGATGTACCCTCACGAGCAAAGTTATTGAGATATCTGACTATTGATTATTATAAAACAGATCAGGAGCAATTTTTTGGTACCATAATATTTGTGTAAAAAGGTCATTTACTATCTATTTTGTTATCAACAAATTGTTACTTTTTCTTTTGCGAATATTTCATTAACTATTAACGGTGCTGGGGGAGCAATTGCAGATTCGGAAGGAGCAAATTGCCATAAGAATAACCATAACTATTAACAAAATAACTAACAAAATATATAACAAATGTCGTACCTCTATTTTTCGTCCTCTAATCAGTTTCCTCTCCTTTATTCCCGAACTACTCCACATACTCTGATGCCTTCGGGTGGGAGTAGGAGCTAGATCCTGAAATTCAAAATTTTTGTTCTCTTGGCACCCAGAAGTTGCAAAAATTGAACAAAGAAATATATTTTTGACTGTAATGGACTGTCATTCTGTAGAAGAATTTAGAAATTTGTGATTGAAAAAAAACGCTTGGTTCAATTTCCTCTGGCCAATAGGAAAGCCCTAGTCAGGCTTAGAACAATTCATCAGCCGACGTCGCATACCACGGCTTATCACTTTAAATGTGATACAAATTTTAAACCTTTATTAATAATTTTAAATGGTTATAAGATGAAGAACGGTATACATTATACAAAGCACCAACTTTGCAATTTTTTCTGTCGTAAAAAAAAAGAATTAGAAATTACGCTGTAAAATCGGTTGTTTCAAGGAGAATACCCCCTTAACCCTTGTGTGGGCAATCAAAATATTCATAGTTATTGAGCAATCTGAATGCTCTTATTCTGACAGATTGGATAAACCAGGGACTTCTACCGAAACGTAAAATACCTGTATTTTCGGTTGTACCTTCACCCTATATAACCCTATATAAGCCCTACCCTTATGGAAACCGAAAAAATATCGGTATTTATTTCGGCTTTCGGTAATATATCGGTTTTGTTATAGCTTTGATAGCTATAATTGATAGTACTATTAAAATCATACCGGTTTAAGTCCCTATCGAGAATTTAAGCACTGTTTTAGGCAAGACCGTACAAAATCGTGAGAGCAAAATTTATAAATGGATACCTGAGTACCCGGGGTTGCCTACACAAGGGTTGAAGGATGAGTGTCCGAAGTCTGAAGTTTCAGCACAGAAACGTTCCAATTGTCGAAGACGATAGACGGTATTAATCCGTAGTAAAAACGTTCTTTCGGTGTCGCCTTGGCAAAAGACAGTCTCAGGCACGGGAATGAATAGCGAATGGATCGGGAGACAATCGGAAAAGGGGGAAAAAGAGCGGTCGAACGCCGGTGGAAAAGAGGCGCGGAGAGGCGGCGGCGGAATAGCCTGAACTGGACAGCACGTGGACTACCTACTTTTATATCGCTCGGGAAATAATGGGATTCCCATCATGAAGTGGATTTCCCTCGGGGGCCAGTGGACATCGATGTACGCGTCAAGAGATCCTACACCGCCCCCGTATCCTATCGGTCTCCTGCAGCCAGCCGACGTTCATCGTGCTTGTCCACCCTCGCTCGTTCACCTGTCCGACTACCTCGTGTCACAAACTCACACGCCGGCTTGATTTTCGTCGTATTGAAGACTTCACGGTGAGACCTACGCCAAATGTGTAATGCAAGGGTTATTAAGTTGGAAGGTGAAATTAATTTTTTATTTTTTTTTTAAGTCGCTGAGTTCGGCATGTTAATTTGACTAAATTTTAGAGGAGTCTGTATTTGTTTTTCCTGTAAGTTGAATTCATTTTTCGTGAAGAATTAACGTGTATTTATTAACCACGTTGTAATACTAGAAGCTTATGTAATTATACTTAAGCTTACATGGATGTTAATTTGAGTTCTATTGATCATGGAAGTTGTTTCTCAATATCTTTACTCAGAGGCAGGAATACCCTTTGGGATTTTTTATATCTACATGGGTCACGAAAACACGGCTGACAGAGAATTTATTAACGGTTCACGGTCTTGTGAGCTCTATTGCAGAAACACTTGTGCAGCTCGTTATTCTCCCACGTGCCATCAAGTAATTTCAGTAATTTCAGATGTTATCTTATGGAAATTGCGAAGAGTTTCCAACTTAATCCTCTACATCACTAAATTAATTGCTCTAATTAGAGTGGGGCGAATACTATACATACTCTATGGTATAAAATAAGTTCTGTTTTATGCTTTTGTTCAATGGGTAGGTACATGCATTTAAAAGGAATGTAGTAGGTGTTTGCTACATAATTATTTACCCTATTATGTAAGTCAGGTAATTTTTATTGCAGATTTTAAAGAAACCGAACATTGCATTTACATTTTCATTCTATATATTGGGTAATTTAATTTGGATAATTTTATTTCTGTTTTCAAATATTTTTATTTTCTTAAAAAAAGCGTAAATCCAATTTGAAAAAAGGTAGTTTTATTTATTGGCCGACATTCTCTTTTTGATATGTGACTATTAAAGTCGACATATTTAAAGATACGTACGAATTACATAATTAAACAATTCAGTCTGATTATTATGAAGGGGTTAAAATACAAAAGCAGAAATACCTAACCAAAATCATAGTTGCATATTTCATCCATAAAGTGAAGAAATTTATAAAGAGAAAAAGAATAAAAAACCGTCTTTGTGCTTAGAAAAATACCTTAAAGTCATTAAGTTGACTTTCTAACATACTAATCATGGAAATGTAAATACTATGAATGTTTGTGTTTTACATTCAAGCAGAGAAATATTGCAAGAATTCGACTGGTTTTAATTTTCTGAACAGACTAGAAATCTTGGAGGTTACTTTTTGGAGTATTCATGTGTTTATGATTCCAAGAAATTTCATGCTGAAAAGGTATGAGAACGAATAAGAAGGGTACGTGTAAATAGTAATATTACTAAAATGTTCGTTAACAATGCATATAGAATAAGTTATTGCACTTTATTAAAGCAATATTATATACATCGCACAGTCTGTGATGACAAATATGCGAGTTAAACGCGACACTGTTATGTATTTCATTCTTTCCTATATTACCATAAAATAATCTGCAATAATCAAGTTACTGCTGAACTCAGAATTCATGTTTTATTGGTAACGACGGGTGTTGACATTAGAATGGTCATGGGGTCAGAAGACCCCACAAAATCTCGCAACGAAAAGGCATCGAATGATACAGTAGACATTCGTTTCCCGCACTAGTCAGTACAGGAACCGTACAGGAATCGGACACCAGTTACCCGAGCGCTTTTCGCACAACTCGGCCGTTCAATCGTGCGACGCAGTTACATATAGGGTGGGTTGGATATGCGCACTTTACGGTTACATTAATTATCTCCATTATTTTCAGAGATATCAGAAGAGTTTATTCACTGAAGTTGTTCAGTATGACGAAGGCTATTACTTAGCAGTAACAAGTTTTTCGTAAGTGGAGTATCTTCTAAGTTTCCAAAGTTAATTATGTTATTTTTATTAATGATATTGAAATATTATGGAATAAAATACTTTTATTACATAAATCGATTCTTCTAAACATTCTACGTAATAAACTATTAAGGTATTATGTGAAAAAGGTGACATATTTTAGTAGCAAATGTCTAGCTTGGTTAGTCTGGGCGTGTTGGGCGACAGAGTAGGGTACGCGCACGTGCGTGAGAAATACGTGTGAGCAAGGGGCGTGGCTTCCGTACAGATAACGGTAGTGCAGGAAACGAATGTCTACTGTATGTACATATTTCGTCGGTGCTCAGACCCAAACGCTTACCTTTCGTCGATAACGAGATCATCGAGCGAGTCCAAGCGACGAGTAACTTCTTTGTTAACTGGGGTTAGTGTTTCGACTATCAATCGTAACTGTTAATGACTGCACTACAGAAGCGTGCATTGTTGGAAAATGTATTTATACTTAAAATTGTACAATTTTTCTTTTGTAATATTTTGAAAACTATTAATTTTAAGCTGAACGTATAAGCAGGATGCGGCCGAATAACATTTAAAAGCGGGCCCGAGGTGATTCCTAGTGAAAAAATAAATATGCAGTAAAATTGTTTTATCTGAGGCTAAGTTTTCGAGAAAATCAACTGTGTGCATATGCAATTACGGCTAAGATATGGTTCACCGAGCAAGACATAATGTCTTTCGTGTTTATTACACCCCTTGATATTTATTTGTGGGGTCATATCAATGGACAGGTTTATAGTCGTGATATTGAATGGCGGGCCAAATTAATGCAAACTATTAATTACGCATTCGAGGACTTGAAAAATGAAAACATGTTACCGAAAGTTCTTGCATTTGTAATTGGACTGGCACAGCTATGCATACGATAGCGAGGCAAACAATTTCAGTAATGCTGCCATTGATATAACAAAATAGTTCACAAAATATCGTTTTGTTCTTTCTTGAA